GAGTTCATAGTGACATAGAATTCTGTAGTTTAATTTCAGTCTATATATACATCAAGGAGACAACATCGAATTTTACTATATATTTTTAACACATTAATCTGCAGAATCTGCAATAAAAGTACCGGCTCGTGGATGAGTTGGGGCATAACTCATACGTATATTCTTTTTTGCTGTTGTTAAGTTAGGTATCCTTTTAAATCCTTTATTATGGTTTTACTCAAGTCTGTCTGGTAATTCAACATTTAAAAATAAATATTTAGGACTGTGCATGCTCTTCCACTTTCTTTTCCCTTGGCACTACAGCCCCAGCGGGCCTAGGCCTACCTCCATGAACTTCTCCGTTCACTTCGATATTTCTAGATCTTACACATTCAGTAGGACTCCTTGAGCGGGTGATCAGTTCGTCGCAAGGCCTCTACCTGTACACAGACACAGAAAAATATACACACACAAACTAAACATCCATGCCCTGAGTGGGATTCGAACCTACGATCCCGGTTTCCAAGCGAGCGAAGACAGTACATGCCTTAGACTGCTCGGCTACCGTGACCGGCAGTGTATAAGAATAATATATAAGAGTTCAGTTCGTACCTCACAGGAAACAGATCCGAACCCACGATCCCGGCTTCCGAGCGAGCGAAGACAGTACATGCCTTAGACTACTCGGCTACCGTGACCGGCATGCGCTTCCATTAGCGGAGTTTACATTCCGGACTGGCCAAAACGGGGTATTTTGGCCACGACGATCATACACATCACTGACTCGATTGGGGCACTTCGGCCGTTAAAGTTTAATCACTTGGGACAAAGCTAAATCATGACACCTGAGCCCATCTCAGCAGCATATTTAAAAAATCCCTCACTTCAGTCTGTGGGTTCATATATGTTATCTTCACCTAGCGTTTCTAGGCAACGGCTCAGTAAACACGTTCCCGTGGGAACAAATACATGGAACAATAGAAGAATTGTTGGACGCGTGTGTCTGTGAGTCAATGTATCCCCCAATCGTTCTTATGTAACAACTCGATAAATGAAAAGAATTGTTGGAGACGGCGTTTTCTATGTGGCCAGTGTCTGGGCTTGCTGAGCTGACACTCGCGAATAAATACTGACATTTGCCGGTTATATATCTTCCAATTAATCATGACTCGGCACATGCTATGTAATATTTCCTAACAGTTGATAGGGTATTATATGACACCACACGCAATGAGTAAAGAAGTACAGCGAAGCATGATTTACTCGTACTATTACTTCATTGATCTGCATAATTTTTTCCCACCAAAAATCCTGCTCCCTTTTTGCTCAGTCCCTAGCCACTCATTGTAGGCCCTGGCCGATGTCTTAATGTTGTGGCACGCCACATTCATGTTTCTGATGCGCTGAGGTGATCTGTATCATCTGTACCTCTGCCTATAAATATTGGTACTGACCTCAGTAATGGGGGATTCCTTCTGTAATTATATGGCCGATCTGGCACCTTGCCAGCATAAGCGTGGGAGAGGACAACTCAGGCTGGGGATCGAAGAGGAGAGGTGGAGGAAGGGGAACTTGAAATGAGTCATTCTGTAGTCGCTTCCTTGAATTGTTCCGTGTCCAGTCTGCTTGTATATGTTGATGTGGATTAGATATCTGTCGCTATGGGTAGATGTGCGTGGTTCCGTTGCTGTAAGAGGGATGTGAGTATTTTTCTTTTGATAGCATGATCATTGCTATGTTGGCATTGAATGAAATACAAAGAACGCATGGGTATAAATGGGCACCTACTGATTGCATGGGACCAAAATAAGTGCTCATTTACACGCGTAAGAAAGAAGCATAATAAAAGTAGGTCAGATAAAGACAGGTTCCACACAGTTTGATGAACACTGTTTTCTTGAATGCTAGGCCATATAGTGTAGTACAGGTAGATGGCTAGTGACGTTTCGGAGGAACATGTTTCAGTCTTCAGGGCAGAAGGAGGTACACGTCTAGTCAGGAGCAACCCTCCCCCGGAGAGCAGTTAGCTGCCTCCCGCGGTGACTGTGAGGGAGAAAAAAGTATTAATCAGTATTGTATAATAAAAATCTGCTCATTTCAGTGTGTATATTCATCTTTGTGGTTGAGTCCGCGGCCCATTTTGCGTTACCTTTAGGAATTATTCGGGAATAAGGCACAGTGGTTACTAGATATACCACCTGACGTAACATTCATCAAAACTCTGCATTTTGCCACCAAGGGCGTGTTACGTATATGTGTTTTCGTGTTATTCTGGGAATTAATAGTGTTTAATACCGTAAACAGTATTAACCGGCTGGTCTTTGAAATGTTGACACACACACACACTCTGTGCTATAAAAGAAGTTTTAGTCCATGATTCAGGATGCTGTAGTATTAAGTTTCTTATTTCCGCCTGTATCGCGCTATTGCAGTTGCCCAAATTTTGTGTATGCATACATAATTTCGAAATCTGCGTTTGTTTTCATTATATGCAGGCGATGGCTGGTAGACTTCAAGATATGACATACATTTAGTAATCATTGTAGAGACAAGTTTTATCTTATGTGTATTTCTTATTCATTTTAATATTATAGGGAATAATTCTGGTCGAGTTCTATTGAAAAATAATCTTCTTGAAATTAAACACATTATGGATTAAGCAGCGTTTCTTTCGAAATAAAATGGAGCAAGCATCGCGTACTATAGGCTATTGATCTGTCGCCTGTATGAAGTTTCGATTACACTTTGTTTGTAAACCCATACAATTACTTCCATACGGCACATTAAAAGGGTTAATATTACTAATACCCATTCCTTGGCTTTACTTAATGTTTTTAAAACTGTGGTTATTTGTCTGCTACTGTGATGTATAATTATAGCGAGAGAGAAAGTCAAGTTATTTTTGGCATGAAAATACTTCCGATGTTCCACTTACCAGCTGTGTAGACCATCGAAAGTACATATAAACTTCAGATATCCTTCATGAGCTTTGCCCACTGTCAGGATTCATTTTAATGATTCCTGTATGCAGAAATCGAAATAACGTAATGGCAACAGCCTGTTGAACGTAACGTTCTATTACTATTCACACCGGACCAAGAAGAGCATTCTTTACGATTAAATTTCTTCAAAGTTGCTCGGCTTCTGTTAGTATGGGCAAACGCCGATAAAATTTCGATTAGAATAAGTTCGGAAATGTGCACATACCGTAACGATTCCCACTATTTTGCGAAGGTGGATGGTCTTTGTTTAGTTATTTCGGAAACCGCAAGAAAAAAAATATATTGGACATCAAATATGTCTTTCATGTTGTTGGTGACACTTTCGGGCCCGATTTTTTGCTAGCTACGCTCCCAATCGCGCAGTGCACAATACTGTTCGCGTTTTAAGGTGGTCGTCGTGGTCCAGGATTTTCTTGGGACAGTGCAGTGTTATGTTGGATATAAGGTTCTTACAGCGGTGACTGGGGGCACGCGGTAGCGTAGTTGGTTGAGGCACTATGCTACAAGCCAGAAGGTCGCGGGTTCAAGTCCCGATGAGGTCATTGGATTTTTTCAATTGACCTAATCCTTCCAGCCGCACTATGTTCTTGGGGTCGATTCAGCCTCTAACAAAAATGAGCGTAGGGCTGACAACTTTGCCGCCATCTGTGAGCCGATTGTCTATAAAATGTGGGAACCGCAACATCTCACAACCCTATGGACCTCCACGCCCTGTTACAGGCCATGGAGACTTTACTTCTTTTACTTTTACTGCGGTGACTATAAAGAGTACTGTTCTTCTGGGATGTGTTTATATGTAGTCCGGTAGTTCACCGACGTTTCCTTCTGTCTTCAGGGTCGAGTAAGCCTTATGCTACTGCTTGCCTTACTGTTTGACCTTGAAGACTAAGGAAGTATGTTACATCGAAATATTAGTGACCTTCTGGTGCATCTAATAGTGTCAGATGTCACAATCAGTAAGGTGAAAAAGTAAAGTCATCCTTGTGCCATGAAGACATGGGGGAGTGGATATATAGAACCACCCTTTCCTGACCTTGGCACTAGTAGGATGTGAGTGGTCAGCTTCACTCCCCAACCACAATTTAGTACTCTTCACAATAACATTTTCTTTCATTCTGATGATTCTTAAAATTGTTTATCATCACATCACTGTGATATGTCCTTGCAATATGCATATGGACATAAAATATTACTGCTCATGCATTCCGACTCCAGGTAACATTTAATATACATGAAGATATTAAACTTTTCACTTTGAAGTGTGTAAAAAATAAATGCTTATTAATATATGTAAAGTTTATAGGAGGATGAGGTGGGCAGGTCATGTAGCACGAATGGGGGAGACGAGGAATGCGTATAGGATATTGGTGGGAAAGCCAGAAGGATAGAGACCACAGGGAAGACCAAGGCATAGGTGGGTGGACAATATTAAAATGGATCTTAGAGAGATAGGATGGGATGGTATGGATTGGATAGATCTGGCTCAGGATAGGGACCAGTGGAGGGCTCTTGTGAACATGGCAATGAACCTTCGGGTTCCATAAAATACTGGGAAATTCTTGAGTAGCTGCAGAATTGGTGGCTCCTCTAGAGGGGCTCAGCTCCATGAATAAGTAATTAAGTAAAGTTTATAGGAACTAAACCTTGATTTTGTAAAACATAGAAATTTTTCAGGAAGATCTAACTCATAATTACAAGAACAGAAATACAATGAAGTCTAAAACAGACATAAATTGGTGAAATAACACAGTCTTTGTGTGATGTGGAGTAGGAATATGCAGGTTTGGTTGGTACATGGTAAAACAGAATGAACCCACATGTGCAATGAAAAGTCCACTGTGCCCTTTGTCACTTAGGTTGAACTGGGATTGTCAAGTGCAGAGCCAGAGGGCAGTGATAATGAAGGCTTCTCCCAGGAATGGTTTGATGAGAACTGTGGTTTTATTTACCCAAGACAAGAAGCAGAAGCGTTGCCGCTACAGCAGCTACGAATCGAACAAGAGGCAAGTGGCAAGACTCCCTTCCAAATAAGAGTAGTAGAAATGCTGTTCTCATTGATGTGTTGGTAATCATTAGCCTTCCCATACACATTAACATATTAAATGAAATTCAGGATCATTTGTGACTGTCGTTGATTTCTTACCGCAACCAGTCTAGAAACTAATTGATCATACCATGTAGGACATAAAACATAAAAGTGAGGAAGCTTCCAGTTGCATTATGTTCAGAAAGTTTCTTGAAAATCACTGATTTGCCTCAAATATTATTAGATGCAGATATGATGGCACAGGAAAACAAAATGTTATTTTATGAAAAACAATATTTTCTTTCCCAGATCCAAGAACTTGAAGAGGCCCAAGAACCACTGCCGTTCAATTGCCACGAGATCCCAAACAAAGCATCTCCACCTTACTTTCCACCAAGGCAGACCTCCAGAAGCCTGCTAGCACCTATCCCCAGTGTGTCACATATACTATTGGGAAAACAGGACTTCACCAAGGAATCTCTCTTCATTCCTTCAACAGCTGAGGAACTTACTTCACTGACTCTGAACATGATCAGTTACTTGTATAAGGTGCTCACATTTAGTGGTGATATAGAGCATACAGAAGTTCTGCCTGTATGTTATGACAGAAATTCTGTTCCCACGTGTGATGTTCAAAGGTCTAGCAGAAGGATATTTAAGATATTGGTTTTTGATTTAGTAAAAGACATGGTAAAAGAAGCTTATGGCTGGACAAGGGAGACCCCAAGTGCACCATGGGAGTGGCCTGCCTTCTCACATAAGAGAAGTAAACCACTCCCAAGATCCAAGGAGATGTTGCAAGATGTGATCTTGAAGCAAGTGCTTGTTCTGTTTGGCTTTGTACCTGAAGCATATAAAGAAAAGCTTGTCATTCGGTGGAGTTGTAAGGAGAGAGATTATATAGACAAAATTCTCATCAAGGAATGTCATGAGGAGGAATCTGCATGGACCAATTATGATGAAGATGAAGTGACTGTGAAAAATGAAATAACATTAGGAATTTTGGACTCCTTACTTTACGAGACTGTGCAAATAATTTTACATGCTAGGAAGACAAAATATAAAAAGTCGTATGAACTAACACTGACATAGCTGTTTCTAGTCATTTCCAGATATAAGGTTGTGAGCAACAGATGTTTACTGAAAATACCAAAGAAATCATCACAAAGATACTTTCATTCTGGCTGTCATTTCACTACTACTACATCAGGGCTGTCCATTTTATATGGTCTTTGAAGAGTGACACTGTGCCTTTAGCAACTAAATAATCATAAGCAAAAGTGTAAAATGGTGGTACAAAATATTTTTATACTAAAGTGAAATACAAAATGATTCCTCAGAAAGAACATTGAAGAGCTTCTGATAAATCTCTGAGCTGCTCAGTTGGAAGGACCAGACACTGTCCTTGTCTAACTGGACTGCTATCAAGTAATTTCTCCATTCCCAAGTCCTGTCACAATTCATTGCATTATGTGTACATATGAATATAATAGGTCTGTGTATTGTAAAAAGCAAGTCCATATTAATGTTTTTTTCTAATCATGTTTTATAACTTTCTGTAAAATGTATATAGTGCTGTGTGCAGTGTGTCTTATAGGGCACAACAATGACAAGTGGATTTGATTATCCAAGTGTATAAGTAACGGTTATCTGCAACAGAATCAACGTTTTCCCAAATAATGCATAGGCATACATATGTAAGAACGAAATATAAGTCTTATTGTTAATATAATGGTAAACATATTTATAACTACTTTACACACATCAGACCGCCTCTGTGGTGTAGAGGTGCTGTAGCACACGTCAAGTCTTGAGGTCACACAATAAGTCTTCACTGGCTGACTTCTCAGCTATTGCGCACTATCACATAAAATCTTCTAATTACATGTTCAGGTCTTCTTCCTCCTGCGGCTCACTCCAAGAACTAACTCTAACTTCAACTGACTGCTGTTCTGTCTGTATCTGTCATTATATAGCCTCTGCACTGACCACACAGAAAGCAGCCTATATTGTTGGAACATGTTTACCGACTGATTGCATAGCAATGGTCACTGCACAGACTCCACTGTTGCGTGACGTCACTCATAGAAAGGCAGAGGTCATGTGACTCCCACTCACTACTGCAGTATGATGTCATCATACCTGCACGGGAGTCTTGTTTACCAGCTGGCACTTAGAAGCGGGTTGCAACCTCGTTCCACATCCCATCGTCCAACAGTTTGACATGTCACATGTATACGTGTATGTATGTATATGATATGTATATGTCTTAAATCCAAACCTACTGTTTATGCATACATATATACAGATCAAACAGTAGGTTTGGATTTAAGAGACTAATTACATTTCACTATCGATCACAGTAGCCGCACAGTCTAAGGCATGAACCGTCTCCGCTCAAGTACTGAGATCGTGGGTTTGAATCCCACTCGAAGCACAGATGCCTGTGTGCATTTATTCTTCGTTTGTGTTGTTCTGTGTGCAAACAGCGGCCTTGTGATGGGCTGATCCCCCATCCAAGGAGTCCTACTGACTGTGTATACATTAAGAAACTGAAAAAAGCAGCCAAGGTCCACAAGGGCTATAAAGCCATAGATAAATTACATTTCATTGCATCAAGTACATCATGTGTCCTTCTAAGTGCAATGTATACACCAAACAAGGACACATTAATGTTGTTGTTCTAATGATATAGCTTTTCCGTGTACTGTACAGTCCTGTTGCACTTTATGTGAGTTTGAAATACTACGATATAAAAAATATTAACAAAATATCACTTTATATGAAAAAGTTTGAAATTACGTGAATCCCAAAAAATTCGGAAAGAATAATTTTATTTTCATGAGAAAACTTGCCATGATTTATACAAGGTCTTTAGGAATGCATACTCACATAATACAACCATACTGTATGTGATTTTCTAGGTTCTCATGCTATGTACAGGCCTACTACACATGTAAGTGTGTAGTATGCATCATCATGTTAATATGGTGGTGAATGTCATGACATCTTGACATAAATCAAAACTACATCAAGAACAGGGACAACAGATACCATCAGTAACGCAATATGCTACTCTCGATAACCTCTGAAGATACCTGAACAGCATGTGCACCTGTGAGTGAAACCAATTTAAAAATTAAAATGGATACAATGTTCAGGTGATAGTCAACCAGGGAATCACAAGCGAATGTTATCATATGGTATGCCCATTCCTCCTATTCTTAGAACAGTGCAACCATTGTATAGAAGGGCCTCAGTTCTCTGTGTTAAAGTAGCTGGGAATCATAATGCAGACACACACATCCACCATCCAACGTACAGTTGTAAAATGTCTGTGGCACATTTCATAGCTAAATATAATATCAGACTGAAGTTGAGTATATAAAAATTATGAAACTTATTCTAAAAATGTAAACAGAGTGCATATGTATAAACTGGTTATTTCAAAACTTTGAATATTTGTAAATGGGTTAATTCTCAACAATCCAGTTTTTATCTGCGGCTTATACCTTAAAACTGCAGTAAATACAACTTATTTTCTGAACCACTGTATCTCGGATATTTAAGGGCATTTAAAAACCGAGGCCAGCACCTAGTACACCGGGGGTTTAAATGCCATCTCCTAAAGGATATTGTGATTGGATTGTGACTGTGTGAAATGGAAGCCATAGTTTTTCTTAACACATAACTGTTTTACTCATACAGGAAGATGTGGGCATAACAACAGGTTATGACTTGCAAATCAGTCTCATTCACTGCCACTTCTCATTCTGTATCACACTAATAAAATGTTAAGTAGCATGGTCACAAGTATATGTGTTCTAGGCACAAGTCACAAGTATAATTCACATTTCAGTAAAGAGTATGTCACCAGATTTAACTTACTGCAAGCCATGATGAATATCAGATTCACTGAACTTACATTACCAAACCTAGACAAATCAGCTACAAGTTTTGAGTCTTTCTAATCATGCTTCCTACTACATTAGTAATTGAAGTGTAACAGATTGGGTGTAGTGGTATCCATAACTCCATACAGCTGAAAGGTGCTGACTGCAGGTGAACTAGTCTTGGTGGTAAAAGGTATTGATTCAACCATACCACCAGTTTGCAGGTTTCGAGAGGAGACGGCTGGAACTGTGTTGTCTGTTGCTTCAGTAGGAGGACTATAGTTTATCACAGATGTTCCTGCATTAAAAAAAATACTCTCATCACTATGTACAAGTCTTCCCAACCCTAAATGGAATTCACAGTTATCTGGACCAGAACAGGCTTAAGCACTCCAAATATTAACGTTAACTTAAATGGATAGACTTGAAAGGATTCTGACGATGGTGTATACTGTACTTCTTTTGGCTCATTTTGGACTTCACCCATCGTCTGGTATGTAAAAGACAAAAAGAAAAAACAACGTTTCGGTGACTGGATCTGTCTCCGTCTTCAGGTGGATAGGGAAGGATAAACCTACTCAGTTGGGCCCCTTAGAAAGAGCTAGTCTCAATCACTGGACAAACCCCGGTCTGTAGGAACCAGTATAATATTAGGACCGTCTTCAAAACTAAACACACTTTACGATCTTCGCTCGTGAGAACGAGACCAAAAAGGGATCCTCAACAGACGGCACAGTGCGTCTATAGCATTCCCTGTCAATGTGGCAGAAGCTACATTGGTGAAATAGGCAGACCACTGGCTGTTCGAATCCGTGAACACAAGCACAATCTCAAGCATGGTCTTCTAGAGAAAAACAGGTTGGCTTAGCATGCATATGAAGAAGGTCACAGGGTAAGCTGGGATGAAGCTAGGATCTTGGAGGTTGAAAGCAACAGCAGATACAGAAAATACAAAGAATCAGCTCATATGGCATGTTCATCCAATCCGATCAGCCAACCCAGTTTGCATATTTCTCCCATATGGATCCCCCTCATCAATGAAGAGGTTAACAAATCAAAAATGTAATTTTATGAATATTAGTGGTTCCACTACTCCTGCAAGTTTTGTTCCAGGGATTAGTCTGATTCCCGGAAGTCGCCATGGTGGCACGATTCTTTATCCACGCAGATTAGGCACGCATTATCCAGTTCTTACTTTTGTTTTTAACTGAATTCATGGAGTATAACCTATACTTCTCTTTCTTTACATTGTTGACAAGTTCATGCTTGGCACAAATTTTCTATCATGTTTTTACTGTGATTTTATCCTTTCCTCCCACTGATGGAACCGGTTGTCGGTTGTTCATAGGTTGTTTTTCTACAGACCAGGGTTTGCCCAATGATTGAAACTAGCTCTTTCTAAGGGGCCGAACTGAGTAGGTTTATCCTTTCCTATCCACCTGAAGATGGAGACAGATCCAGTCTCTGAAACGGNTTTCCTCCCACTGATGGAACCGGTTGTCGGTTGTTCATAGGTTGTTTTTCTACAGACTGGGGTTTGCCCAGTGATTGAGACTAGCTCTTTGTTAAATGTAACCTCAAAGTCTCAAGTGTCATCTTTCTAATTTGCTGGCATACAAAAATGTTTAATACAAATTATATAGGTACATTTATGGTCTACTTCCATATAAAATTTCACTTGTTTAACTTAAATAGTAACCACCATCAAGCCAAAAGTTAAAGATATATTTTACACACCCACCAAATTGTTTTTCACATTATATAAAAAATTAACAAAAGTTTCCCAATTTATCACACAGAATTTTGAGGGCTTTACATTGAGTAACGCTAGTGTCATTCAAGTCTCAGAAGTTTTCATAGCTTGCACATTGATATTATTGAATGCAGGATACTGATAAGTACAAAGGTGGGGTGGTGTGTAATGACATGATGTTCACGAGATATCATAAAAATTTGCTAAAAGATGGATGTGAAGCCATAAGGCAACTTTTTGTTGTGAACTAAGAAAAGGAGGCTTACAGGTAAGGTAAACCTGTCCCTGTGCTTAACTAATTAAGCACTACACCAAGAAGGCACATGGAGGAGTGGATGTATAGATCCACATTTTCTTGACCTTGGCAGTAGTTGGAGGTGAGTGGTCAGCTTCACATCCCAGCCACTTTACCCCCGGGGAAAAGAGTCCCCAGTACCATTTGGAAAGGAGGCCTTATGAGCCCTAGAGCCAGTCTGGATGATGTTGAGAAGAGAAAATTTTTGACCCTACTGGGACTCGAACTCCGACCCCTCGGTCATCCAGCATGTAGCCATCCGCTACCCTGACTAGGCTATCCTGGCCTCCAAGAAAAGGAGACTAGAACAATTAATTACACTATAATCTGAATAGGAAACATACATCAGTGATTATACGAAATGAGCAATATAAAGTATTGTGAACTGCAGAATTTTATGCAGGTGTAGTTTTCATGAGTTTGCATGAATGTGGGAGGGACATTGTATAAGCTCTACGATCTAAGACAGGATGATCATGAGAGCAAACGTGGGTCACGGAGTTCAGTTATTTTTAAATTTCAATGTGGTAATGTCACATTTTACCCATATATAAGAAATTACAGAATTAAAACTTTTTGATGACATAATTTCATATTTGTTAATAATATGTAAATACCTTGTGTGGTTGTGTTGGCTGCAAGAGCTGACTCTGGTAGAATAACAATGTTGCTGAATGTAGTCTGCCCTCTGCCCTGCAGGTTGACACTGATATTAGTCAAGGGCTCAAAATCTCCATTGGAGGCCATCAATGAAATGGTGGGTTGTGGATGGACATTCTCTGTGATGACTGTAAAGCAACATCGGTGCTTGTAAGTGATATCTTGGTAGGACTCTTATGTGCAGTAAACACTGCTGCCATTACTTTTCAATACATGTGGCAAAACTGTTAGGTGCAAAACACTTAACAGTGAGCGCCATCTGCGGCTCTGCATACATCACACTTGTAGTCTGCCTCTTGCCATATGCACTGTAGCATGTACGCTGAAACATTTGCAATTGCTGCAGTGACCCATGCTTTCATTTCATCCATCATGTTCACTCTTTGGCTGTACACCTTGTCTTTCACCCAAAAATGAGGGTGCCATGCATTCAGTCCTCTTCCTACATCAACCTGGAAAATTCACATTCAAACACTCATGGACAAGGTGAGCAAAATGAACAGGTGCACCATCTAGCTGAATAAGATTGCTGCTGTTGTTGAGCTGCAGAGGACCATAATTTTCCAACAAGTCTAGGAATGAGTTGCTTGTATTAATGTCTGCTATAAAGAAAAAGGGGCTGATGACTTTCACATGTCAATGCACAGCACTTTAGGACTATCCCATTCATGTTCTAAATGTTCTCTAGGAGGGTCAATCCTCCAAATGACACAGTTATGCTGACTGACACATCCAGAGATGTTAAATTCTGCCTCATCAGTGACGAAAATATGACTTAAGAAAATATCATTTTCCAAAATTTGTATGCATGTGTGTAGCAAACTGCATTCTAAGCCATTTATCACATGCTGTAAGTTTCTGAACTACCTGTAATTTGTGTGGTTTAAATGTAAGCTCTTCTGAAGAACTGTGGACAGTCATTTGCAGCATCTGTATCTCTGCACTTGCTTGGCAGATCAACCTCTTCAGTCTCCATATGAAAGTCTGGAAACCCAATCTACATAGTCATCAGATCTCCTAGGCTGCCCTCTCTCATTGCTTGTTTTGTTAACAGCTCACCAGAAGTTACTTTCCAAATATTCCTCATACAATATTGTCATTATTAAAATATGTTTAAATGAAACCTATAATAAAGTGTGTATAGCTAAACATTTGTCTGATACATTTGCAATTCAAAATGGTCCAGGACAAGGAGTAGCTTTACTATAATTGCTTTTGNTGCCTTTTGACTTTGCTTTAGAATATACCATTATGAAGGTCCAGGAAAACTAGATGGGACTGAAATTAAATGGGACAAATCAGCTGCTGTTCTGTGCGGGTGATGTAAATCTATTGGGAAATAACATAAATAACATAAGGAAAGACATAGAAGCTCTAAGTCATGCTAGTATGGATGTTGGTCTAGAAGTATATGAAGAGAAATCTAAGTATGTCAGCAGACTACAGGACAANCGTTGCTTGCAACCGCATTAATGAAATTATTTATGAAGCAGTAAAATAATATGAAAAACAAGATACAGGAAGCGACAATAACAAATCAAAATCTGATTTAGGAGGAACTAAAGAGCAGACTGAATGTGGGTAATTCTTTCAACGATTCAGTTCAGAACCTTTTTCTTTCTTGTCTCTGTCTAAAAACATAAAAATTAAAATATACAAAACTATAAGAAAACCTGTAGTTTTGTATTGGCATGAAACTTGTTCTCTGACATTAAAGGAACAACTGTATACTGACAGTATTTGGGAATAGGGTGCTGAGAAGAATATTTGGACTGAAGATAGATGAAACAGTAAGTTGGATGAGCTTCATAATGCATGCGCTTCACCAAATATAATTTGAATGATCAAGTCAGGCGATACAAAATGGAAAGGGCACGCAGCATGCATGGGGTGAAAAGAAATACATACAGGGTTTTGGTGGGAAAGCCAGAAGGAAAGAGACCACTAGGAAGATGTGGCAGGATAATAGCAGGATATATCTCAGAGGAACAGGATGAAGTGTTATGGACTAGAGTCATCCTGCTAAGATATGGACCAGTAGAGGGCTCTTATGAACACTGTAAAATGTTGGGAAATTCTTTAGTAGCTGAGCAACTGAGAGCTTCTCAAGAAGGATAACACCATGGAGATAGTGAATGAGTGAGTGAGTTAGATAATCAGTCAGTTATATAGGTGATAGGTCTGAGTAATATTCTGTACACCACTTGCCATCCTAAGCATAATGGAATTCAAACTATAGACCACCCAGGTGGGGCTCATTCACAAGTTATTATTTCTCTCAAAAACACCTATAATGTTTTTTTATCAAATTTCACAGATTTATAGTACTGATATTCCCAAATAAAATTGCAGTGTTATTTTTTCCTTCGAATAACAATCTGCTCTCTATGGCCGTTATCATGGACTAAAAACTGTTTATATTTAAGACAGATAATCTTTATTAAATATTAATTTTAGGATGGCTGTGATCCATCAAGCATATAAGGGAAAGTATGTGCAGCTTTTGCATGAATTTTTTCCTTGATTATGAAAATGCTTGATCTTGATATACAATGACAGACAATGTTTCACCTGATGGTGATGATGTGGGCAGCTCCAAGATATGCAGCACTTGCTGAGCACCACTTCTTGTTACCAACTCTCCACCACTGTCATTTGCATCAGCTGGGGCCAATACTGTCACTGTTTCAATGTTCTTGGCTGACTGAGCTGCTTGCACTGGAATTGAACTTATGGGCAGCTGCTGAACCTTGTTCATCTTCAGTCTCACCTCCTGCATCTGTTGTTGCAGTTGAATTTGTTGTGCTGAAAGTTGTTTCTGCAGCTCAAGTAGCTTCTGCAAATGGCAGGAAGCTTGTTGTGGGGTCAGGGAGTCTAGTTCTTCTCTGTGTGGAAGGTGAATATTGGCAACATTTGTTAAGGGTGAGGAAGGAGTATCTTCTTCAGTGTTGCCCATCTTCTTTGATTTATCTGTTAACAGTAAATATATTCCAAATCCCACTTATTATATTATATAATTTTATGTATTCTTTACACAAAGTGACCAAGCAATTTCACTGAAACAGGACAGTTTCCAGCTTGTATTTCAGAAGGACACAGAGTATCCTGACTGACACTTCCTTCAGGATATCCATGCAAATGCTGGGATAGTCGTTTCCAATAACAAGTAGACAAAAGTATAAACAGAAATCATGGATTACCACTGGTATAAGAATTTCTTGTAGAAACAAAAGGATATTATATGTTGAAGCAAAAAAAAGTAACAACCCTATAATAGTGACCTATTATAAGAACTGCAAAATATTAATTAGAGTGATAAATCTAGCTAAGATGACATATGATAAACAAATTAAATATTAAAAAAAATAGAGCTAGAACCACCTTGAGAATAATAAATGGTGAAGTGTTAAAGAAAGGAAATAGAGAAAATATTCAAACCTTGGACACTGAAGGTAAAAAGAATACTAATTTGAACGATATTGCTGAAATATTTAATAGGTATTTTAGTGGTTAATATACATAAATATATAAAAGGAAATGGTGAAAATAATACACCTAAAACTACAAATTATATGACATACTTGACTGATGCATTTGAAAGTCCACTACCTAGCATAAAAACTATAAAAACTACAAGTAGGGAAATAGAGAGGATTATATAGTCCCTAAAATTTAGTCAAACCCATGGATATGATGAAATTTCAAATAATATACTCAAAGCCTGTAAAATCTTTATTAGTGAACCTATAAGTTACTTATGTAACAGGGCTATGCATGAGGGTATTTTCCCAGACAGATTAAAATATGCTACAATTATACCAATATACAAAAAAAGGTGATAAAAACTTAGAATCAAATTACAGACCTACATCCATATTGACATCTATTAGTAAGATATTTGAGAAGGCAATGCATAGTAGATTGTTAAAAGATTTGAATGATAATAGTATATTAAGCAAATACCAGTTTGGATTTAGAGAAAATCAAGCGACTGAAAATGCAATTTATAGACTTATCTCTCGAATACTAGACTCATTAAATAAAAAATGCAAGTCTGTGGGATTTTCTGTGACTTAGAAAAGGCTTTCAATTCTGTTAGCCATGATATATTATTAAATAAATTGGGGTGTTATGGAATAAAAGACAATACGACCTATATAAGTCATATCTATCGAATAGAAAACAGAGAACTGCTATCTCCAATGGGACAAACAGTAGTAAACTAAACTCTCGATGGGTTAAAGTAACTAATGGTGCCCGGCAAGGGTCGATACTGGGACCACTGCTGTTTATAATATATATAAATGACCTACCCAAGGTTTTAGAGACTAAGAGTATTCCCATTCTATTTGCTGATGATGCCAGTTTTTTAATCTCTCTGGACAATCCAATAAAACTTAAAAATATAATAAATGAAGTATATAAAATGCTGGAGGACTGGTTTAAAAAAAATTTAATGTCACTTAATATAATGAAAACATATTATATAAACTTCACTGTAAAAAATAATGTAGTTAGAGAAATGGGAGACATAGGAACGGTCTTATTAAATACAAATCACATTACATTTCTTGGCCTGACTATCCAAAATGATATAACTTGGGATAGACATATAGATGAGATAATAAAGAAACTAAATACAGCTTGTTATATGATAAGAAATGTAAAACCAGTGGTGTCTGTAAAAACATTAAAAAGTGTTTATTATTCATACTTCCATTCTGTTATGACATATGATATAATGTTTTGGGGTAACTCAGCGCAAGCTGAAAGAGTTTTTAAGATACAAAAGAGAGTTATAAGAATAATAAAAGGATGTGGCTACAGAGAGTCATGCAGAGAACTGTTTAGGAATATGAATATATTTCCTTTAAGATCACAGTATATATATTCTCTGCTGATGTTTGTAGTAAATAATAGAGAAATATTTGATACAAATATGGATCACTATGAAATAAATACTAGACATGATATGGATATACATGAGCCAGGTAAATTTGATGAAATATGGTAATGGGGTAATTCACATGGCCGTAAGGATTTACAATGCACTACCTAATAAAATTAAAATAACTTCTAATGATATAAATAGGTTTAAAAACAATTTAAAGCAATTTCTTTATTTAATTCTTTTTATACACTGGATGAATATTTTAAGAGATAATGCTTACACAACTATATAAATATATAAGATGTTGAGTAGTACAGTAAATGGATAATAATCGTGAATGTATGATAACCATACTTATAACTGAATGTTTTTATATGTTGGATTTGTTGTATATGTTAAAGCTATATGACCAAAATATTCTGTTACTTATGATGGAAACTTTTATCTTAAATTTTTATTTTAAATGATAATTTTGAATGTACTGTGCTAGAGAGTAATTGTATTATGATGTAAACAAACACTGTCATATATTATAAGTTTTTGACAATTGCTTCATAGTATTATCAAGATAAATTGACACAATTCTGTATCTAAGGCTTTAGCCTACTATAGATGTAATGGAATAAGGAAGAAATAATAATAATAATAATAATAATAATAATAGTAATTTAAATAAGGTCATGTTGATTGGTGTTTAGTGAGTAATCTGAAAAATTAAGAATATGTATTATAATATTAAAAATGTTATTTTTGTGTGGCGTTTTTGCATTAGTTACAACCACCTGTGTGTACTTAGTGTTCATCATCCGTTGTCAATTTTGTTGTCTTATGTTGGAGTGTTTATTCTGTGGGAATCTTGGATTGAGGTTGCTATTTATAGCTGTGTGTGTAGCACTCACTGATTATTCTGTTGTTCTGCATGGAAGTGTTATATCATGAGTTCTTCTTGAACGGATGTTGCGGTTCCTAGTATTCTGAAAGATGGATTCTGTATGATGTAGCATATTGTAGTTAGAGATATGGATTGTATTAGACAGGACTTGATAGCGACCACCAGCCTACAGCTCATTCTTCCAAGACCTTGTCCCAACAGGAAAGGAAGTTTTCCACTTAGAAGCCCAAGTTTTGGCTGTTCTTTTTTGGGCTGGAGAAATTCAGGTCATACTTGGAGCATGCAGAATTCAATCTTGAGATGGACAACCAAGCTCTTATGTGGTGTATATCTCGCCTGTGTCAATTAGGCACAACAAGTCATTGAATCGTAAGACTATCCTCCTTCAAGTACAAGATATGTTATATCAGGGGTACCCAGAATGTTATTGCTGAGGCCGTCACATATGTATGACGCTGACATCCATATTCCAGTTTGTCTGGTTCTGCTCAAGCTTCTTATGTTATATGAAGATACTAACACTCAACAGAGATTCAGTCCTGTTCTTAGCTGACCAATTATCAGCAGAAGATAATGTTTCCAGGTATTGTTTGTCAGTTCTTCACTGCAGTGCTTGTTATGGTGGTCACCCAGAGGTTGTTGTTCCAAAACTTTTTTACTTTTTTTCATGCTTCTCCTCTTGATGGCTATTTAATCTAAGCAAAATTCAGTGTAACGTCTGCCAATCATTTATTTGGAAGAGGATGGATTCTGCAATTTCTACCTATTAGGACTTGTAGGGACTATGGGCTTAGTAGGCCTGCACAAAATACTCACACTCCCAGCAGTCAAAAACATCTTCCCTGACTTCTAAGTTTCAATTGGCTTCTGTTCTCTACTTCTGGTTTACATTGCTATTGCTGTTATTACATGTGTTAACTTTATTTGTTTATCATCTCACATTTTTATTTAATAAGTTTATGTTCCATATTTGATAAGTTGACTTTGTTTTCCATAGTAACCCACAATGACCAATGCTGACCTCTGGACAGCCACTTTCTTCAGCCCCAGTAGGGGGTGTGTCAGTTTAAACATGAAAAAGTGATATCTGACATACCACAAAGCTAATTTTATTTCTTCTTACTTGTGCTGTGCCTGATAAGAGAGAAAATGCATCCCAATTCTTATTCACATACATATTTATACCTACTGGAAACTTTCTTCTGCTTCTTCTTCTTTGGGTGATCGCGCCACCACTGCTTTAGGCCATGTTCTGGAGGCTCTCGTTCACCTTGTGTTCTCTTCATCTGGTCACTGACCAGACATATTGTTGCATAACTGCACCCTGAAACCAGAAAATCAGAAGAACTAAGTTGTAAGTGGAATAATGTCAGTTTCCTTATAACTTACTAAAACTTTCAGCTATATATATTATTGAGGCATGTTTCACGGCTCAACACAAAAATTGCAGTGAAAACACCAACTGACAGAAAAAACTGCTCTTGGGCAACAAGAATCAGCTAAACAAGCATTAACATCTGACTGCAGAATAGACATCTCTCTGTGACATCAACTTAATTTTACCTATCCTTAAAATTCTGTGTTTCTGACACACATGTTAAATCACAGTCTTACATTTCTCATGTTTTATGGAACACTGAACAAATAATTAAATTTAAATTTTGGATAACTGGTATAAGGGAGGAGCTGGAATAGTGCAATCTGTTTAGTGACTGGCTATGGGCTGGATGACTGAGGGGTCCAAATTCAAATCCCAGTAGGGGCAAGGTTTTTTCTTCTCCATGTCATCCAGACTGGTTCTGGGGCCCACCCAGCCTGATATCCAATGGGTACTGGGAGCTATTTCTCTGTAGTTAAAGAGGATGGGGTGTGAAGCTGACTACCCACCTCTTACTAGTGGCAAGGTCAAGACTACATGGATCTGTACGTACACCTTCATGGTATAGTGTTTAATTATTTAAGGACAGGAACAACTTTACCTTTACTGATATAAAGGAGATAGATACCAAAAGAATATTAATTTCTTAGCAATACTGATAATTTTTCATCTTAATTTCATGCTGACTTGATTTTCACATTGATGACATCAGGAGCAATATGACAGCAGCTGTGAAGGTCATTCCACAAAACCAATTCCAAAATTGTTTTGAAGGGTTGACTAGACACTGGCATCAGTGCATAGCTTCCCAAAGGGAGTACTTTGAAGGCGACCACAGTGATATTCAGCAATGAGGGATATAACACGTTTATCATGATGAGTTTGCAAACTTAATTGTCAGACCACATATGTACTGAGAATAAAGTTCCGAAATCTAACTAGTTACTTTACAAAATAACAGAGGAGTTCATGAAGTAACTGTTTCATGGCAGTTAAGATGTAAAATGTTGAGAATTTCACTATGTATTTCATATATTAACTGAACATTTGCAGTTAACAAGCATGTAGGAATGTGATAGGAATGCACTCACAGCAATCAGTGTAATGATAGGGGTGTGTGTGCATTGTAAGAAAATGGGTTTTCACACTTTACCTAGGCAAAACAATTTCATTTGGCACATCATCTGCTCTCAATTAGTCACTCTGTGAAATTCCTAAGAGTGTATAAAGTTGATTCAGCTAACTAATCAAATGACTAGGTCATTATAAAATAACAAGCTGCATGCCTTAAAAGTAACAGATGCTCATTATTAACCTCACCTACCTGTCACCATGGAAATGAATTTGTAGCAATTAGCTTTTGTACCCCCTGACGGAGTTAACATCTCTGCCAAGACTCGCCTTGCCTCACGCTGTCCTAACTTTGCTGTGGCCCGCCACACTTCTAATAGCTTGGCATGGGTTAGTACCATCTGTACACATCTGTCACTGCAGCATGTTTCATTTGCCAATTCTGACACCGGCTTCAGCAAGCCTCGAGCATTCTNCACATGTATCTCGTTTATGTCATTAGAAAGCAAAACTCTGAAAGTATTTCTCATGCCTGGCTTAAATGCATGCGCCAGATGGTGACCTTCAGTGAGCTCAGTAACAATGTCAACACCACAAGAACAGGTTCAATGTGTGTTGTGGCTAGCAGAGTTGCAATCTCTTACGGCTGTCTAGTGTCATTTTAGAATGCAATATGGACGTCAACCTCCTATACAGAAAAGAATTAGGTTCCAGAACAACAAACTGAGGACTACAGGTAGTCTGTTGCATGTAAAATCTCTTGGAAAGACATGGATCTCTGAAGAAAATGTCAATCATATGAGAAAGGCATTCCAGCTAAATCTGTGCAAATAAATTCATGCTGCTACCTTGCAGTTACAAATTCCATGTTCAACAGTGCACAATGTGCTACATAAAAGGCTCCACCTAAGAGTGTACAAGATTCAAACGATTCACGCACTAAAACTGAGTGACTAAGTAGCACGCACAAACTTCACTGTGGCCATGCTAGAAAGAACTGATGCATCACCCAATTTCCTCTGCCAAGTGTGCTTCTTGGATGAGGCAACATTCCATGTCAGTGGAGTTGTAAATAGGTACAACTGCAGGATTTGGGGCAGTCAAAATTCACATGTCACATGTGAGTTGGAGAGAGGCAGGCCCTAAGTCAATGTGTGGGCTGGCTTAATGCATGGCAAGTTGATTGGACCGTTTTTCTTTTCAGAAAAGACTGTGACCGGACATTCATATTTGGACATGCTGGAGTTGTATGCACTGTCCCAATTACCACCTCAAACTATCCTCCAGCAAGATGAGGCACCACCACATTTATGCCACCATGTTAGGAATCACCTGGACAGAGAGATGCCTGGGAGATGAATCAGCAGAGATGGACCAATCACTTGGCCTCCTAGGTCGCCAGATTTAACCCCACTGAATTTTTTCTTGTGGGGTTATGTGAAAAACATTGTCTACCAGGTTAAGATCAACGACCTTCAATACCTGAAAGCCCACATAAGGGATGCTCTGGCTATAGTAACACCAGACATGCTTCAAGCAACGTGAAACGAGGTCAAATACTGTCTGGAAACTTGTCATGCCACAAATGGAGCCCACACTGAAATTGAATGAGAAAGTTATATACTCAGAGAAAAAACTGATAGTTTCCCTTTATAATGGTGCAACCCATAAGTATGTATAATGAATGCTTTCTGAGATATAATTATTTTACTTGGATGCCTTTCATCCAGACACTCCGTATAATCATAGAAACTCACTGTTGACCCCTAACCCTAAGACAGCTGAACCTCTGCAAGCTTTCTGAAGAAAATTTTGTATGCATTTTCTACCAAAATAAAACCTAAATCATGAAAATTATTCAGTACAACTTATGTCATAGCAAAGTTCTGCCTTAAGCTTGGCGTGGAAAAGTCAGGTATTGCATTTATTCAAGAAACATGAGTCTACAGAGGATTAAGATTCTTAAATAATGCCAGAGAAATGTCAATTAAAGGTCCTTACAGTTTTGTAAAGATCCAAATTAATGCCTTGGCCTTATTTGAGTTCTGTTCCATAGACTTAGATAACAGTGAATTCCTTGATATTGAGGAAACAGTCAGCTTAAGTTACTGGAGGGTATGTCATAAAGCCCACCACCTGTGGGGAGATCAACCCTAAGCTGACTGGCAAGCACATAATATCTTATCAGGTGATACCCCTGATGAAACCTCCACGTGTTGGCCGCTTCCAGGAAAGAACTCTGTAACTTACGTTGTGGACAGACAGCCCAGGAAACAAAATCTAGGTTATCTTGCTGTAAAGTGTGCAGTGAGAGTGTGGGGAGAAGGTATTTGTTGAATCATGATGGTAGAAATATTTAATTTTGTGATCTTCATTCATTCATAACTTGTTTCAGATATAGTACATATACTGTAAAAGTCAACAACAAATTCTGCACATGAAAAACTGTCTGCCACAAAGTTACATAATGGTCCACATTACATTTATATAATAAAATATAATAAATGTAAATAAAACAAAGAAGCTACCAAAATGAGTTCTCAACTTTCTTACATTGAATTGTGCTGACATATTAGTGAATTAATTCTTTTCCACACTGATGCTTCATTTTAAAAACTTTTTTCTTACCTGTTGGGAGAAGTTTTCAGTTTCTTGTGCAAAAAATTATTTGAATACATCAAAATTCTTTGAGAAGCTCTTTCACACAAATGAAGCTCCACTCGCAGATACTGTCGATTTCTTAGAACAAATTCCTCAAACTCCTTACTTCTGCACTTCTGTAGCCCACAAGGAACTTGTGGCTTTCGCTTTTCATGTTTATCTGTCCCTGTTCCTTCTTCTGTGTTGCTCTGTAATTGGATTTATTCAAATTCTCCCTGTCACTGAGAAAATTATGCACTCCATTTTGGTAAGACAAAATACTAAAAAATAACTTCCATTATTAACATCTGTCTTATTGTTATATAAAATATGGAACATTACATTTTGGTGCATATATTTCATTAATTTCATGAGCAAAAAATAAGCACTGTCATAATATTTGAAATACTTCTGATGGTTTCTCTGAAGTACATGGATATAAAGACTACAGGAGATGCTTTTCTCTATTTCACAAAGGAAAGAAAAGAAAAATTAACATAAGAGACATGATTTTCTGAAATGCACATATTGAAAAATATTCTGGCTGTCCTAGATAATAGATAACCTTCTTTCACAGAAATAATTTCGATGGAAACTGGGCATTATGAAACAAATGACTGGTGCCACAGTATACTAATTATATTGACTAATACTAAAGCATGATGAAACAGTATGGTAAGCTCTGGGAATTCAAAGTGTGGTATAATGGAAAAGCACAGTGCATGGCAAGAGAACAAGAATTACATACTAAATAAGTTGACTGTTCATTACTACCTCATTTGAGTGCTGGACATTCCTTTGTTTTGTCAAACGCTCAGCCTCCTTCATAAGTGACAGTAAATGCAGGGCTCTTCCATTAGACTCTTCTTGGCCCTTACCTAAAATTAAAATTAAATAGGACCACCATCAGCAGTTTCAAAGTCACGCAGTGACCTACAGATCTTATTCTGCTAAAGGAAAGTAACTGAAATAAATCAAAATTTTCTCAAATGTTTATTGCTTTGAGGGTCAAGGGTTACATGTGTGACATGATAGCTAATGTGAGCCATATATATGAGAAATAACAGGCAAAATCCAACACGGGTGGTGATGGCTACAAATGCAACAGTAAAAAATCTCACATTACATGGACACTTTTCCCTCCTTCCAAAATATATTTGATGAGAAGTACATAAGAGCTATCACCTATTTCAGAACTGTCAGACACAATAGGAAACGGATGCTGGGGGCTTTAACAATAAGCCAGTAATATAAAATTAGGGTGACATACATAGTAGGGACAGACATAACTTGACAATCTGTATAAACTACAGCAGAAGGCAACTGCTATGATGAATATGGGAAAGCTCTAAAACCTGCTGCTGCAGTTGTTAAAGACTACAATCGGAACATGGGCCGTGGTAACTAAGAGGGCAGAATAGTTATTATCAGCCATTTGATTAGTCAGGGAACACAGAGATGAACAAAAAAGTTCACCAATTGAATGTACAAAATGTAAATTGCCAACTGTTATGGTTGAATGAGTGGCACTCCTTCATATTCAGAATGTTCTGAGTTCAAATCCTGCTCTGGAGACCAAATATCCTAATCAAGGTCCTTTGTGGTTTTGCTGTCCTTCTATGGCAAATGGTGAAATAGTACAATTTACATCATAACTACTACCTGCCATATTATTCCTTGTTTGCCATTTACCAGTAATCGTATCAATCAATGTTATATGGTCTGGGTTACTGAAACCACTGCTAAATAAGCCATAAATAAATGACTATATCATATTACCATCTGTGGCAGAAAATCTTGGTCACCAAGAATTTTATGCACCTTGTTCAAAATTTGTTGAACTGGGTGAATGACAGACTTATCCTCTGTTGACCCCAAGAGAAAGATGAAATCCATGAGACAATTAAACAACCCATCTTGAAGGTCAAATTAACAATCACTGGTCAACTGCAGCACTGTTTTTGCAGTTTTCAGCCAAGAAGAAATGTACAACTACCAAATGTATGTGCTTGAAGTTTCAAATCCCTGTTCTTGGATGATAAACTTTAAAACTGTGACATGACTGCAGGTATATGCCCACTGTATTTACCAAACAAAACCACTTTCAATTAAATACAAACTGTCAAGCATTAACATATTCTGGAATATGTTAATGCTTGACAGTTTGTTGTTTTGGCAACCTGAAACTACCTAATAACAAAGATAAATCTCATATATATAAAACACTTTTCATATAACTGTTTCTTAGTCTGCATAACATTGTTTTTTCAACTGTACATCTGTAGGACAGATGATATAACTCTTCCTAAATTATGTAGTAGGTCACAAACAAATGAGCAGTCTGTGGTTTCAGTGTATCGTACGTGTGTTCTGAGAATATTAATAATATTTTGATGTGGATATATGAAGAGTATTATACCATATGAAGAGGACAGTTCACATACATCTTATCCATGGGAGATGGCATTAAATACTGGCCTTAACACATTACTTGATAACATGTAGGACTGGAAAGGAATACAGGAGAAAGCAGAGCAAGTTAACAGTACAAAAGCGTATTCAGCAAATGACGAGAATTCCCTCTGAATTCTCAGTGGGTGTTGCACTGGTTCCTATAAGAAACTGATTTTGACATAACCTGGATTAACAAAACTAAGTTAATTCCAAGTGACACCAGGAAATTGGGACACACTGTACTGTAGTTGGTTGAGGCACTATGCCACAAGCCGGAAAGTCGCAGGTTCAAATCCCGATGAGATCACTGGATTTTTCAATTGACCTAATCCTTCCAGCCACACTATGGCCCTGGGGTTGACTCAGCCTCTAACAGGAATGGGTACCAGGAATCTTCCTGTGGGGGGTAAAAGGCGGCCAGTGTGTAAGGCTGACAACTTCACTGCCATCTTTGAGCCGATGGTCTAGAGAATGTGGGAGCCTCGATGTCTCAAAATCCTATTGGCCTTCACAGTATGTTCTCTTTTTCTCAATTTACCGAGAAATTACAGGGGTGATGTTACACTTGCAGAATGTTGATGCTCGCTGAGACAAACACATAAATCTACAACAGCAAATGTTTATTGCACTTAGAGCGGGTATTACAGACGAGCGGGCAGTGTATCTGAATAATACTGGTGGAGACTCCCTTCATAGCGGATAGCCTGTGCTAGTGACGATGGTGCTATTGGAGGCCCTGAAAAGGGCAATTTGTCTGAAGCTTTCATTGCGGCGAGCTAGCCAGCATGGCATGCTTCCTTGTAGCAGCCCAATGTTGTTCTTTGCTGCAGCCCAGCGATGGCAAGCCAGGGGAATAGCAGGGAAGCTTTGGCTGTAACAGCAAGACTGGCTAGCCTATGGAGCACTGGTGGTCACTGGCAGAGTCAGCTGCAGTGCTGGTACTAGTAGAGTCACTGCTGTAGTGATCTCTGGATGCAAACATAACTGTCACTGATGCTACCGTATCAGAGGCCCATCATTTTGCCACTAGGTGGTGCACTAACCAATGGATGCTGCACCTGCTATGGTGATCGGTGATTGGGTAGTGCTTGTGTGGCAGTACAGACAGCCACGTTGCAAGTACATAAATATCATCTGCTCTTGCTACACTGTGGGAGTTGTCTGTCTGACTGTGGGAGGTTCCAAACACACACTCATTATTTTACTTGCAATACCTCAATCTGCATTCATGTAGGGGACAGGACCCATGAGAAATTCATTTTATTAATTCTCAGCAATGGACATAAATTTCATATCCCTGTGGTAAAGTGATCTGAGAAACACATTATGCACTACAGCCCCAGTGGGCCTAGGCCTACCTGCATGAACTTCTCCCTTCACTTCCGTTTTTCTAGATCGTACACATTTGGTGATCAGCTCATCTCAAGGCCTCTACCTGTACAAAAACGCACACACACAAACTAAACATCCATGCCCTGAGTGGGATTCGAACCCACGGTCCCGGTTTCCGAGAGAGCGAAGACAGTACACGCCTTAGACCGCTCAGCTACCGTGACCGGCGCAAAGGAGTTTCACATGTCACAAAATTTCTTGTCAGAACTACACCTCTTATACCACATAAGTGTCACCCTGCTTGGACCCATTCTGCTCTTCTTCCCTGTCTGTGACTTGGAATTCATAATGATTAGACATTCGCACTACCTCACTACAAAACATGATGCAGTCTGGGAGGTTTGACATGCTCTTTTTGAACACATACAACATTCGTACTATAAACAAAGAGTAAAGATAATATACTGGGAATATTAATCATCTCTTAATTTGCTTGGTTTATAACTTAAACTCAGAAAAACATCTGCCAAACTACAGAAAGAAAGAAAGAAGTTAAAAAAATAGCAATATATTCCTACAAATATAACTTACTGTCATCATGGTAAAGATGAAAACAATTAATGAAAAGGCTACCAGGCAATGTCACCTACTAAGCCAAGCATTTAACACCAAAAGCAACCCTCATAACTCAAATTAATACTGTATCTTCAACAAGAACCATAGCAAGAACTAAATGGCTGAATTTCAAATTTGCTGCCAATCACCTAATTTGGTCAGTGATGTCAGGACTGTAGGCAGAAATCTAATATATATATATAATGGGCCAACTAACCAAAGTATCAATTTCTTGTACGTCCCCTTATCATAAAATAATTCATACATTGCATAGACCAGACCAGGGTTACAGTTATTAATTACTGATGCTGCATAACTGGGGCTACCTTCAGTTGCTGATAAAAATCAACTAAACCACATTTAAAGTTAGAGTCTAAGTAAAATAATAACAGAGAAAGGTAAAACTTTTAATTTGGGTTGAGAAAAGTTACAAATTCCTTCCATGTCAAGTTTTTATGTAAAATGTAATCAGATAAAAATACTTCATTACCATCTGCAGAGATGTATTTCTGTAAACACTGACAAGCTGATGATTTAAACGCTGGACAGTAAAGGCGAAGTGCATCGGGGTCCTGGAGGGATGCAGCCAGTGATGCTGCAAATTCAGCAGCCTTCTTCAAATAACAGTCCTTTTCTTCCTGTGTTGGAGGTTCCTGCACACATTTACGCATCCTCAAGAGTGAACCACAGCACTCGCCAGGCCATAAAATAAGAAATATGAATATGAGCTCCATCAGGAAGTTCTGGGACTTCTTTTAAAGTAAAACAATGTCAAACACAGGAGGTGGGAAGTATCTTGACTACCTAAGCAACTATTAGCTTCTCAAGAAAAACTGCTCCGCAGCGTTCATTAGCTAGTTACTGACTTTCAAAACATGTACTCTAATTTCTCCAAAGAATACTCGTGGTGATTTATGATTCTATCCTGTCATATGTTGAAGGATTTCTGGTACCCCTCTTTTGGCAAGATGTTTGATTCCGATGCTACATTTTGTATAATTACAGGTAGTCCCTAGAGCTCTTTTCAATTAAGTGTTCTTTCAGTTTTGGCCCTTTCTGCAACCAGTTCTTAACAATAGCTTCTCAGGACTATGTGACAAAGCTGCTTAGTGCACAGTCATTTTCTGTAACATTGTATGTACGTGGTATTTGAGTCATACATTTGAAATTTTTCAGTGCTACTAACTTTCTAGAGCCAGAAATGTAAACATCACTGAACAGGAATTATCCTGAAGCAAGTGAATGAGAACAATGACATCAAATATTCTGGAAACAGTTCATACTATTGAATGCAATATAAAAAGGCATAGGACATAGTAAAGACAAATACTGTATGCAGATTATGGGAATTAAACATTTCCAGACAATCAGAACGCAAATGTTTGCGTTTTAATGATTAAACAATTTCCACAGCAGAGTTAACCTGCTTGAGGCATATAAATGATTGTGAAAATAATGAACTATGCCTATAAAAACACATTCATTTTATATCTCGACTAAAATTCTGTTAAAAATCAGAACGTATAAAATGGATATTTGACATGTTCCAAATCTTCTATGAACATCTTTCTGTAATCATATGTGTCTGTATCCTGTAAATTTTAAGAGTATATCAAATATAATTGTATTTATTCTTCCTGCATGGAACTCACAATCTGATAAAACTGGTATGCAAATACTATCAAATACAGCTTACCGTGTTTTTGAGCTTGACATATTCTGACAACTCAGGCATCTAAGCTACTTAAGCCACAAATGTTTACACTGAATACACACTAAAAATTTATCAGATGCTTTATGTGAATCTTATTTCATTCTCTAAGAAATTAAATTACAAGGTACCTTAAAATGTAAACCTGCCAATTTGAGGAGCTGCAAGATCTGTTCTGAACAATTTGTAAGAACATAACTGTCTCCTTCACTGAATGACACAGATATATACGGTAGTTCTGATTACCATTCTTCATGTCTTCCCAGTTTTTGAATGTTCACAGCATAAATGTTAAAAATAAGAGCATCCCTTCATCATGTGTAATTGGAAGAGATATTTCTGAGTTTACATATTTACTTCTACATTGTGTTCTGTCTTATTCAGTGGGAGAACACACAAAAACCAAACTGCAACGTGTTTTTGTGTTTGCATACAAACCTTTCTGTGCCTCTCCTTTTTTGATCTGACCATGGAAAGACCACAAGCATTACAGAGCAGAAGAACTTGCTTTGTTACTAGATCAGTTATCTTCCGTGGTCTATATTTCCTTCTTGAGCCTAGCCTATGACTCCTTGCTGGATTGACAACGAATGGAGAATGACATTTTGCACAGGAAAATGGTTTTCCATTTGGTTCCATATCAGGAATATTTGTACCTGAAACAGAAAATCATCAAGTGATTCTCAGCATTACTAGCTTTCTTGACTTTGCTCATTGTCCGATATTTTAAACCAGGACCCAGTGTTTCAGTAGGATCTTCTCCCATCCTCAGATGAGGGGTATCTACTCAGCCGGCTCCGTTAGAAAGAGCCCCAGTCAATGAACAATTAAAATCAATAAAATATGACTATACAAGGTACTCTGGTCAGGGTTTTCCAACAAAGCTAGTAATTTTCATTTCATCCATCCTGTTGCGTTATAATATACAATTTCTTTATTAAATCCATCACAACACAACTGTATCAAGGTCAGTGCCTAATCTGGCTCTGCTACATGCTTTGGCTATTAAAAGCCATCATCAGGCAAATACACAGCTAACATATATACACCACTGAACTGCAGTACTATTAAAATTGGATACAATAATATTAATTATATTGAAATACTTGGCATAAAAATACAATAAATTAGATTATATAAAACAAAAGTTATAGTATAAAACAAGAATAAAATTCTTCGAGTGATGCTTTACATCATTGGTCAGTCGTTGGTTTTTGTGATTTTGTTGTGTTCCCACGGACAAATTGAAGTATTCTATATTTTGTGTATATATAATAAACTGTTCTGGAGGCTCGTGATGTAGATGTAGTAATATTAATGTTAATTTTTTGTCGGTGCCTCATCTTACAAAGTCCTGTCCATTCTATAGAGAATGTAAACAACGAAACATGTAACCGAGCCAAAGTAGGCTTGATACAGTTGTGTTGTGATGGTTTTAATAAAGAAATTGTAAAGCTAATAATACCAAGTGTGTTACATTATCATCAGAACCCTTTACAATTGGATCAAGTGATCCTGTTTTCTTGTGTACTGCATATTTCACAGACCTGAGAGAAGGTTCTGAAAACAAAAACAGCCTTACAACATTAGAACACATTTGCAGGAAATTATGAGTCTTATAAAATATGAGTCTGCTATTAAAATAAAGAATAACATACTGGAAGCAGTTCTGAATGAACAGGAACCAGGAAGGGAAAAGTATAGAAATAACATTACTTACAGAACTTTGAGGTTCTCATTGTGATGAATATGATGAGTACTATCTTCTGGAACATGTGCTGTATAGTCTGACATTTCATAGGGCCATACTGTCTCCGTAACATGGTAAACCTCTACGAGACAAAAGGTGTCCCAGCCCAGACGACAGTACTCTTCAACATTATTTATATATTTCATTTCTGAAGACTTGCAGGAAATAATGAAGACGCATTTATTAATAACAAGATCTAAAAGTTTGTGACGATGGTAAATTGCTACAAGTAATATGTTTTTGGATATTATCCATCATCTTGTCTATTTTTAAGAAGAAACATGACAGTTTTTTAAAAATAGACAAGATGATGGATAATGTCCAAAAACATATTACTTGTAAGCATTTATTAGCTTCTATTTAATGGTTTATTTACAACAATTTGGTTTTATTCAGTGAGTTGCAAAATGTGACATCAAAGATAAACCACTGCTGTTGGAAACATAAACTAAAGTCATTTATGTATTCCATCATGTGCTACTTATCTTGCATAAAAGAAGAATTCTGTAAGTTCATACATTAAAATCTGTGATATCCAGATGATCCAGAAATCTCTGTTAACCAGAAAATGACTAACTGATGATTAAAGTATGAAATATCAGTGTCTTATTGGCTTTTTTATTACACATACACCATGTTACATGGGTAGTGAAAGGGAACAGAAAGTGTAGCAGGAAAAATAGGACAGGATATCAATAACAAACTAAATGGCTGGGTCTGTCCATGAGATTGCTACGTACACAAAGTTACACATTGGATATAACATGACAATATCCAGGAACCACCTGATCCTGGATGTGCTGGATGTTGCAACTTTTTCTGTAGGTCCTGTAACAGGAGACTATATACAAAGTAACAAATCTATATGCTCCACACTGTAATCGCTCATTATGCTGGAGGACAATTATTAGAAATTACTGTATTTAAACTATATAAGATCTAGATAGGGGGAGATGGCACCATTCTAGCATTTAGAATGTTACTTAAGGGCATTCTTGCTATGCAAATGGGATGTAGCCATCTGCACTTTTCCTGAAAATTTAGTTAAGTTCAACATGATGGCACAGCTTTGGAAATCTGATACCTGACATCTCAGTTGAATGATAAATGTTAGGAAGGAGGGCCAGCTACAGACACTACAAGTATTATAATTCATCGAGCTGTCCAGAGGGCAAGGGGGTATCTTAAAGAGTCAAAATTGTGTAGCAACTTTCATTGATTGGAAGATACAAATTTTTTGGATCTCCTAAAGTTTAAACTAGTCCAATAAGACAGGTTTGGAGGAAGCTCCTTAAAGGGAAGCTGAGGGCTCTGAATAGCTGACTCCAGCAGAGCACAGAAGGTCCTCAAGGGACTCTTATTCCGATTTCCAAAACATTCAGATGCAAAACTTGCATTGCTCTTCTAAATTAACATATTAGACAAGCTTTTATACTAAATCATAGATAAATAATAGATAGATAATAAATCATAGATCTTATTCCGATTTCCAAAACATTCAGATGCAAAACTTGCATTGCTCTTCTAAATTAACATATTAGACAAGCTTTTATACTAAATCATAGATCATGGTGCAAATTTTGACAATACATTCAACTCTTAACATTATTAAAGTGGAACTTGGGAGTGTGTGTGTGTGTGTGTGTGTGTATGTGCCATCCATGTGAATGTGGGTGTGGGGGTGAGCTAAAATGTTCCTCCTTCCCTGCTATAGTAAGAACCAGGGACAGATCTGCTCTTCCAGACCCAACCTTGAGGTAGCCAACTTGTTACCTACCATACCAGAAGGCATAATACAGAGTTGTAGTCAGCCTGCCTTGTAACTACTGACACCCAGACAAGTCCTTCAGCCTTCCCTACCAATCTGTTAAACCTCTAAGGGGGAGAAGGAGGTAAGGATAAAGCGAGCATACGCGAGTGCTACAACCACTGAAGCAGTGTGACACGTGTGGCTGTAGCAGAGAAGCGACAACACAACTGCTATAATTGGCTTCTGATGTGGCACTCTGTTAGAACACAGAGAAATACAAGACATGGTATTATGGAAACTTGAATTTCACGGAGTCTGTGCAGAAGAAAAATGGGATTATATACTTGCGTATTTCTGACTAAGGCAGTTTTGTTAAGATTACGTCCTCTTAGCACACAAAGTAAACAGTGCATAGGTGTAACATCTGTATTACAGAACGCACACAAGGTAATGAAGTTTGTGTCACAAAATGCAGTTCAATTTCATAATACACCTCTTATGATGGTTTCATATAGTATTTACTGAGACTACAATCATGCATTTCAATAATACAGTAATCATAAGATGTGTTTCATTAACAATTGTTCATTATAAAAAATTGTGTTTTTCCAAGTACTGTGTATATAATTCTCAAAGCACATGGAGCTGAAAGCATGTCTCGGTTAAGAAAATATTGTCAAACTGCTTTCAAAATTTACTGCAGGAAGTCCCACTGTACTATGACTTCATGCAAAGTGTTTCAAGAGTTTCAAATATGTGGCTTCTCCAGTTCCTTGTAACAATTACTTATAAGTCCTGTTATCCTCAGCTGGGGCACGCATATTCAGAAAAATCTCAACACACAACACAAAAAAAAATTTGAATCTGGGAACATATATCTATCAAATAAAAATTATATTTTGCATTTATTAATGTACTTTTCTAGTTTATAATGAGAGGCTTATGGTATCATCATGTCTGTGTGTCTGTCCCCTCTAATAACCAACTGATAGGTTTTTATGAAACCTGGTATGGATATAAATGCCACCAGAGGTCACCGCACTACCATAATACTTTCAGCATGTTGACAATGCAATCTTGCAGGGTACTTATTATGCCATTTAAACGTAGGGTCCTGAAGTTGTGTGTGGTAGTAGATTTTCATAAAACACGCAGTTATTGTTAATGTATTTTTCTTTTTGTACACCATAAAACAACGGGAAGGCTTTGTATTTGTCTTCCTGTTTGACATTGCTATTTAAACACTGCAGCTGGTCATGTGAAATTTCATGCAATAACTGATCACAGATACAAATGTTTCTTCATTTCTACAATCAAAGTCTGAAAAGGCTGAAGAATAAGTACATCTTCATTATATTATTTTAACTCCAACTTTAATACAGTTATATCATTCATAACAGGCAACATGACAGATGACAGCATGGTGTTAACAGAAAGTTATGGGGACAACGGAAGTTGTACATAGTGCCCAGTGTCCGCAGTGACACACGGGTAGATCAGATGAAATGGGGAATGTTTTGTCTCAGCCTCACTCCAGTCACATATCACCTCAAATCTGCTCCTTACAATTACATCTTCATTTACACAGAATTTTTCATAAATGCATCTGCTATGTAAATGAACAAATTACTGTTCCTATAAATCCCATATGAAATATTTTTTGTGTTAACAATTACAGAGAGGGTTGACAGTGCAAATCAATGAGGCTATAAGAAACAAATTTAATATAAAGGGAATCTGTATTACTGGAAATTGCATATAGATATTACTGATTACTTTTATAATTGTTACTTTATAGCTGCCACTAGTCTCACACTACAGACTGAAGAAATTCAAGGAAAACAGGCATCATATGTTCTTTCAAGAACTTGTTTTATTACATGTATTTTGCACCCACTTTGCAGTCCCTTCATCCCAATTATGTAATGTATAATTTGCTGTAGTTCATTACATATATGGTACATATTTACTTTTGCCTTGTTGAGACAGTAGCAGAATACTATGTGTATGTTTTATTATGGAAGGCATATTTATATTCTTTTACCTTAACTGAAATTGGTGTTCTTCAGCTGTCTCAACTTCCAGATTTATTGTTTAAATATTAAGTGGGAGTATTAGGAGTTAGAAGTAAACTGGAGGCCATCATGTTGAAGTTGTTTTGCATTGTCATACCTTCCTCTGTTGAATGAAGTTTTTTTTGTTTCTTTATTCTCCTTGTTTTTTCAATTAATCTTCTGTTTCCAATATTAATTTCTGGTGAGTAAGGTCTTTTAATCTTTCGCTTTCGAGGGAGGGTGATGGAGTCAGTCTTTGATGTTCCATTATCCTGAAATTGAAATAAGTTTCAGGTTTTTAGTCAGCATTAAAATTTATAATTAAAATTGTCCACCCATAAACCATCTTCTTGAATGTGTCCACTCTTTGCCTACTTTCTTTTATACATATTTTGTCACTTCATCTCGCCGATGGTGTTTATTCAGAATCTTAATTTTCTAAACTCTCAAAAGAATCCTAATGCCATCCATATGCAGCTTGTATCCATACCACTAAATCCTACGTTAGTCCAACTTCTGTCAAACTATTAGATTTTGTCTAATGTCCTGATTTCAGATTCAAACTCCTATCATTCTTTTCTTAATGATCTGCAGAAACTTTATCAACTTCTATTTCTGCTCCATACATCAAAAGAAGCAGATATAAGCAAGTATGTTGAAAATAGCATCTAACACCTTTATAATGATGACATAACAGTCTACATTACTAATCGATTACAGCCCACCCGCATTCATATAGAAGAATAATAACAGTTCTTTTATGAAAATTTTCAATTTCAAATAACTCTCCCAACTGTATAATATTTCTAGTTCTACAGATTCCCACTGTAATGTTCTCTTAGTCCCTCTCCTCCCTCACGTTAAAAATTGTATTAAAGTTCCTGATTTTCCATTTCTACCCTTTACAAATTCATTACTGTTTTATTCATCATAATGTTAGACAATAATGGTAAGGGCATATCTCCCTCCCTCTATCACCTAAAATCCTGCAAAACCATTCTAATTTAGTGCCATCAGTTACTATTAAATTTTATTTACTTTTAATTATCTCTCCTGTATGTCCAATTAAATTCATTCTCTTAAAAGTTAAGTCAACTTTCCTTCTATTTACACTATCATATGGTTTTTCTTTATCACCGAAAATCATCATCTCCTTTCCACAGTCCATTCCTTTTACCCATAATCTGTTACATTCCAAAAATTAGATTCATCTATAATCTATCATCCCTAAATCCATATTTTCCTCATCCTGTTTTTTATCCGGCCGATCACATTGGCCGCACAGATCTAAGGCATGAACCGTCTTGGCTCACTCAAACACTGGGATTGTGGGTTCAAATCCCAGTCAAGGCATGGACATCTTTGTGTGTTTATTCTGTGTTTATGTTGTTCTGCGTGTAGACAGTGACTTTGTGATGGACTGATCCCCAGTCCAAGGAGTCCTACCAACTGTGTATAAGATTAAGAAACTAAAATGTGGGCCAGGGTCCAACAAAAGGACTGTACAGCCATAGATAGTTCTGTATCCATACTTATTTCCGCTTAAGTAGATCAAATTAAGGTGAAGATATTTTGAAAAACTTACATATAGTAAAAGTCTCCTTATCATCCATATGCTAACAGTTTTACTACTATTTGCAACATGTAAATGTGCTAAGTCACTGTGAGAATGACAGAATATATTTACATTAGGCATGTGCAAGTCTCAAATTTTTTAGAACTCAAGAGAAAAATGTTGATCTCAATTAAAATGTTGATTTTTCAGTCTTAAACTTCAAGAAACTACCCAATCTGTCAGAATGATGATGACTGGAAATTCTTGCTTGGATCTTATTGTCAAAAAATCTCTCTCTCTCTTTTTCGCCTGCTTTCTAGCCATGATGAAAAAGTACATGGCCACAGAATTGACATTTTTAAATACAATGATTTACAACAATTTTTCATAGAAAAAATCAAAATGGATATGTTGTAGGCTTTAGTGCACTGTTAAAAAGTAGACAGTTACAACGAAGAACCGGGAGGTAGAAAAAATTCTCATTCTCATTCAAATTGAAAAAATCATGGTCTCATGTGCCTAATTTACATTATTCTCGCTTGAATTTTAGATTATAAAGATCCATTACGTAATCTCTAAAAAGGTATGTTTTATATTCATGACATACACAAATGCATCAACATATGGCTTATATTTCCTCTTTAAAAATGAGTAACATTATGAAACAATACCTAATGCAATGCAGACAGGCAAACCATATTATAAAATTCATGGATATAACAGAAATGTATACCTTGATACAATATTACCCTTTTGCAATAGAAACTGTTCTAATATGCTCATGTGTTCTCACTTTTGGTTTCACACACATTTAACACAAAAGCCTCATAGCACAATTTGTTGCTTAATGCATGTTTTCCATACCACAGAATCTGGCAGTACAGTAGCAGTGGCTGTAGTTGGGGGCCACACATTTACACTAACAATCTCATAAACGGTGACATCTGTTAGAGAACTGCTGTCCTCTGGTTTCAATTTAGAATGCTCAGGATCTTGTGTGGGTTTCAGAGCAGCAGAGGTCGATTGCAACATGTCAGCACTCTCTCCAGAACAAGGTACTACAACAAAATGGATATAACAGAACCTTGGTTATTGTAAATGGTGTGCTGGACAGATCCATATCGAAATTAGTGGGATATGCAATGAACAGTTTATCTTATACAGTGAGTTGTTTTAACACTGTTGACTGGATCATGGTTTTGCACTTCGCGGTAACCAGTGCAATGTGAGGCACATACAATTTCTGCCAATGAATCAGCACACCTGATGACTGATAATGTGTGGAAAGAAGGAGGGCAATTAACTTGTGGAACATTTGACAGAATTATATTTCAAGGTAAGCAGTGTGGTTCACATGTGGGAGTTTATGATTTGTCAGCAGTAGGCAGCAGTTATCAGCTCCATTAGCCATTTGTTCTCAATTACAGTTAGTGAGCAGTGTGGTACACCAGGTGCAGTATAATTTAGAACAGAGTTATGACACCCATGTGAAATACGTATCTGCTAGAAAGTGTCGGAAAAATTTCAACGGAAATTTCATGCTCAAAAAGTTACCAGCAGACAAACAATTCACAGTTTTGTGACTCTTAATAGATGAGAAATAAAAACATAAGCACAGAGTGCTTACTGAGGAAAAGTAAGATCACACAGGAGCCAGACTTAAACATACACCTATAAAATCACTGGTACATCTAGCTCAAGAGACTGGACTGTCACAAAGTCTAGTGCAAGAATAGCAACACAACTGCTAAAGCTTAAACCCTATAAAAAACAGTAACCCACGCCTTGTAAGCCTAGTGCTTACTGCGAAAAAGTAAGATCACATAGGAGCCAGACTTAAACATACACCTATAAAACGACTGATACGTCTAGTTCAAGAGATTGGAGTGTCACACAGCCTAGTGCAAGAATAGAAACACAACTGCTAGAGCTTGAACCCTATAAAAAACAGTAACCCACGCCTTGTAGCCACATGATCCAGCTAGCAAGGTCCACTTTTGGAGTCTGTTTCTGCAGTCTGTCGTCAATGGTGAGATCCAGCTACAATTGACATTCTTTTCTGATGAAGCATGATTTCACCTGCAGGGATACATAAATACACAAAATAATTATTGCTACTGGAGTTCAGAGAATCCACAAGTCCTGCTCCATCCAGTGGAAGTTGGTTATTTGGTGTGCTGCAAGTGAAAGAAGCATTTTTGTACCTGTGTTCTTAAACAAAACAATTAAGTGCAAAAGATATCTATGTGTAGAGGGACAGCATTTTCAATACCTCTGTGATCTGTAAACTGTAACTACTTATTTCCAAAAGATATCAGTTGTAACGCATAATGAGTCATCGGCAAAATTTGTATGCACCTCACAGCCAGCGATGCACCAATCACTGTGAAGCACAGACCTGTGGAACTTGTCAACAAAGTAAAAATTCTCACTGTATAGAAATATTAGTTACTGTTATGCTACTATGCTATGCTAATATTACTTTTTTGCAGTTAAAGTTATCACCATCATTCTTGTTGCTGCTGTTGGTATTCTTAAGTTAATGGAATGTCTGAGCCAATGTACAGATGTTAAATATTTTATGAACAAAACTGATTTAAGGCTTAATTAAATATTTCAAACCACATAACAATATTTCAGTTTGTTTTTCAATGCTTATTGTTACTGCACACTTTGCCTTTTCATTCATGTGTGTCACACAACATAGCAACACTCATAGAAACAGCATAACTGTTCAATTGCCTTCCAAACTAGTGGGCATCACAAATCCCATAGAAATGTCTCTCAAAGGTTTAGAAGTGGAAGAATCGACTGCTTCATGCAAAAGGAAAACATTAAATTTCTCCATTAAGCAGGAGAATTTCCCATGGATATGCTGCGGATGGATTGGACAGTGCATGGAAAATAAATGATATACAGATCCCAGGTGTCTGAGTGCCATCACATGCTCAGGGATGGTCACGGATTGCTGGAACATGACCCATGAAGCATCACAAAAATGTGAGACAGATGGAGGATGCACATTCTCTCATCAGACAGTATACACAATTGCAAAGACATTGTTATTTTGGTTGATTGTTGCCACATCTTCATTAAGGATCTGAAGACCCATCATACCATCATGTCATTGCAGAAACAGATCCTCTAAAATTAAACAACAATCCTTCATGCTGAAATTATCACACCAAAAGCCCCAAAGTCCTGGTAGGACTGCTTGAAAAGGTAAGATGATGTTCAAAGTACTTTTCAATTGGCAAGACAGCATATGCCATATATTACTCCTGAAGGTGCTGCAGTCAACAAAAAGAGGTACATCACTAATGGAGCTGAGCCCTTCTTGAGAAGCCACCATAAGCCACTTCCCAGCATTTTATGGAATCCAAAGGTTCATTACGGTGTTCACAAGAGCCCTTCAGCAGTTCCTATCCTGAGCCAGATAAATCCAATCCATACCATCCCACCCTATCTAAGATCCATTTTAATATTGTACACCCACCTATGCCTTGGTCTTCCCAGTGGTTTCTTTCCAGCTGGCTTTCCCACTAATATCCTATATGGATTCCTCTTCTCCCCCATTCATGCTACATGCCCTACCTATCTCATCCTCAAGAAGAGGTACATAGAACTGCTTACCTGTCATAACTTTTAAAATGAAGATGCCCACCGAATGAGTGCTTTGCCCAACAGGGCTCTGATCCTTTTGCACCCGAAACTCACCAAGTGTGGAACTGTGGTGCTTCGATGCCCCATTTCATATTGTGTGACTTTCACCTCTGTCTGCAGATGAACGATGCAGGGTTGGGTCAAGTGGTCTTTAATATTTGTTGGGAGGTGCACTTGATGACTTCTAGAAATGTTTAAAACAATTTATAAATGCTGGCAACAGTGTACAGCAATTGAAGGACAATATTTCAGAGGTCTTCTTAGAGCCACTAGATTCCACCCAAATTTTCTCAAGTTCTCACATGCCACAGTGCAAGGGAGGGCAAACTATATTGGGATTAAAACAGCAGCAGCATTAAATACACCCAAAAAAAGGTCAAATTAATGTGAACACTAGGTCTATTTGTGAAAGAAAATTTCCAGTTTATCCTTCTATGTATAGGAGTACATTTTTAAATTGCGCTTTAGGATACCAACAGTCCAGTAGCTGCTTCGTTACATTTCCTACCATATATCTGACCTGCGTAAATGAAACTGTGCAAAATCCCTCTATGACATTCGTGGATCACATTTTCCGAATCATTCAAATTCTCTACCACTTTATATACACATAGGAGAATCCAGAAAGGTGATCACCAGAAAAATATAACTAACAAAGGAATTATAAGCATTCCTTCCATTCTAATGACCCTAATTACTTCTTTTCTAGATATGCGTCCTATATATTTACAGAAACCACTTTTAATGAAGAAGCAGAAGTGAACATCAAAGCAACACTCTACTTCGCTCTGTTTGACTAAAACATAATCGGTCGTACTCGATCCAATTCATAAGACGGAACCACGGATTGTAAGGATATTTATGTACGGTCTCTACACACACTGACTCAAGTATTCTTTGCACTCTATGAAAATGGAGGCCCTGAAAATTTACTAGCATCCCAGACCTTAGAGGGCAGAGCGTTCTCATAGTCGATAGTACAGAAAATATCTTGTGATCCGAAAAGTTAGTCTCTAATACGTTTGGTGTTTAATCTGCGAAGAGAATAATTAATTATTACATGTCCACTCTGACATAGCTCAGTCGGTATGACCGGTATATCAATATGGCCGATATAGCGACGGACGGCTAGAATTCAATTCCCGGAAGGTAAAAGAGAGTACTTTCTTCTCCGCAATGTCCAGACCTGCCCTGGGGCTCACCCAGGCCCTAATTCAATGGGTACTGGGGCATCTTCTCTGGGGAGAATGTGGCCGGGGCGTGAAGGTGACTGCTCGCCATGTAGTATCGAGGCCAAGAATGGTGGAGCTATACCGCCAGTCCACCATAAACTTTCATTGCATAGTAGTTAATTAATTACGCATGGGGACAACTTTGCCCGGGGCTCTTTCCCCAGGAGTAAAGCGGCCGGGGCGTGACGCTGCCCACTGACCTCCAGCTAGTGCCAAGGTCAAGAAAATGTGGATCTATACTTTCACTTCTCCATATGCCTTCATAGTGTAGTGCTTAATTACCTTTACCTCGGACATTAATACTGATTACTTCTTTTTGCTATTCAAACGGAACACTAAAATAGTGACGGTATTGTCGGTCTCTCTTCACAAGAAAGTGCGCTTGATATTATATCTTCATAGATCCGAGCGGATCCTAGCACTTCTGTGGAGCCGATCAGAGATGATATAAAGTGATCCATTGCATCCAAAGATATGTGGTGAGAGTTATGGCGTCGTGTATTTTGAAGCGATTGCGGAGAGGAATTGACATTGCCACGAGGTTTAAAGGTAATTGTGTTTATGCATTTGAAGGATTGCGAGGTATATTTTATAACATGGTGATACCATTCTTACCTTTGCGAAGGAATAATAATGTTTGTGGTTTAGCTATATATATATATACACGAGCATTTTATGAAATTATTAATTAGTACAACTGGAGGGAGCCGGGAAAGCGTAGTCTGTATAACCACTGGCTACGGGCTGGACCACTGAGGTGTCGGAGTTCCAGTCCTGGCAGAGCCAAGAATTTTCTATTCTCCAAGTTTCCCAGACCGGCTCTGGAGTCCACCCAACCTCCTATCCAATGGGTACAGTGGCGGGGTTTTAAGCGGTCGTGGTGTGAAGCCAACCAGCCACATCCAACAAGTGCCTAGGTCAAGTAAATGTGGATCTATACATCCACTCCCCCATACACCTTCATGGAGTTGTGATTAATTAGTTAAACACAGGGACAACTTTACCTTCATATAACTATTTGGATCCCTGTGTTTGATCTCTCCCCCCCGCCGAAATAGGTGAAGTTAGCCAATCTTAGAACCCACCTTCCAAAGGATGTATAGGTTGGTTACATTTTAACAAGTGTGCAAATACTTGGGAATGTGCATATGTCAGCCACCATAATGTTTATCACACCAGATTTTTTGCAGTGTTCCTTGGCCCCTCCTGGGATAATACATCCAATAAGGCATGATCACTTCCTTTCAGATCCTTTCCATTTATCCACTACAGGGTCACAAGAAACTGAGGAAGTATTACATGTTTCCCCTGCTTGGATGGGCCAAGGAAACCCACAAAACAACTCAGAATAGTCGGTGCCTGAGCCGCAGTTCAAAGCACGCACCTCAGTACTGCAGGTGTAGAGTAGTGCCACTACACAGACCTGCCCAGTCACATGCATACTTTCTGTAAACAGAATAGACTTCAGACAGTTAAAATGTAGTTAGTTAGATTAACCTTTTAATGGAGTTCAGGTCCACTGTAACTGTTGAATGCAAGCTGCATTGATCATCTCTGAGTACACTTGTGCTATGATGAACTCTTGAAAGAACAAGTCTGTAGAACGAGATCTGGAGGTCATGGTGCCTTGTTATCCAAAGGCAAGAAAAGTGATACCCAGCAGGTACCTGGCAGGCAGTGTGTAATATAGTGTGGCACCATCTTGCATGAAGCATCATGGCAGAAATACTGTGCTAGATAAGGAGTGATGTCTTGAAAGAACTAATTCAACAGATGTAAACTGTCCTAACCAACATAATTTCTTTGGAATTTAGAAACACATATTCCTGCCATGATGTCCATCTCCATCAGGAAGACCTTGTGCGTATCTCTTGCCAGTTTGAAGGTAATATGTGAATATTCCAATGGTCATTTATGCTGTATACATTGACAATATTTACTATATATTTGCCTGCTGACATTGGATAAGTAAATAAATAATGAAAATACTGGTGAATCAGATTCAGTTTTATGTACAGTTTTGCATACATAAACATGATAACCTAAACTGACCAGAAGGAATACATGCCTTATTGCCAAACCTTTTCAATTCAGCTGTAATAATTATAGAATTAATTTGTGCTTGAATATTGGCATATGTTTTCAAAAGAACTAAATTATGAAACAATTTTGCTGTCCGTAATGAAAGGTTTCTAATGTCGTTTGGTCTGGTGGATAATTTTTTCTTATGTCGAGAGAGAGTCTATGTCTTACAGATATTTTTTAACTCAAGTTGCAATCTGTACAATAAGTAAGGAATAAAGAGTTTTAATACAGGATGTCAAAAAATTATGCACCATAAGGAACCACAAGATCTGTTCAGTGTTCTGTCTCTCATATTGTCTGGATGTTATAAGACATTTTAAAGGAGCTTTGGCACAGGTAGGCATTGATGGTAGCATAAGTTCCAGTTGCACATTCAAGATGCCATGCATTGATCTTCTCTGAACGCACTCATGCCTTGATGTCCAGCCAGTGCCTAGCAGGCACCATGTAATATGGTGAGGCACTGTCTTGCATAAAACATTTGAATCAGAAAACACAATGCGTTAGCGCTCAGTATTGTCTATGGGGTGCAACTTCTTGTACACTGTATATATTAAACATTTCATTATATTGGAAATAACTGTTCCATTGTTGTTTTCTTTGATCTGTTTTTAGGGGAGATTTTGAAGTAACTGAAATTAAATTAATTCTTTTTGCATCATGAGTTTGTTCAAGTCATTGATTTCTTACAATATTAACGTGATCAAAACTATAAAAGACAAGATGCAGTAGATTTCCAGGGTTTAAGAATTTTTTAGCTGTTAATTGTATAAGTGAAATCATAATGAAGTATTGCACATAATTATACTAAGATGAAAATATTTCAATACATTAGATTAGGTGAAAAAGAGAAAAACATTAACTTTCTAGGTCATTGGATCATAAAAACATATCAGATCATTATATATTTTGTGCAGAATTGTGAACTTTTATATGCAGTTTTACTATCATATATCTTGTACATATATGTATCTTCCTGCATTGCTTTTTTACTATTTCAGGATATGGAGGAAGTGTTTCAACTCAGTTCTTAAGATTAACACATGGAGAAGCAGCAGCTGCTGCTGAAACTAGACGTAAGTATTTCTACCACATTCGGAACGATGTTGGACACTAATACTGCCTTCTGTTTAGGCTTTACCAGAGAAGTTCATGGACCTGAATATTATCAATCTGTTGACACCTTGTAGACATGCCATTTAAATACCCCTCCTGTGCTGGAGGGCTGAAAGGTCACAGAAACAAATTTCATAACTTTGTCAGTTCTGGCATATAAATTGTGAAATTTTATCATGCAAGGAAATGTTATACCGACTTGCTCACTAAAGAATTAGGTACTCATATTGTAGAGTGATATCAGTGACCTAAATATTAAGAAATAAACTCAGAATCTGTGTCATTCAAATGCATGGGAAACTGTTCTTAGAACAGTACGTGACCTCTCCTTGATCCTAGACTAATATGTCAACATGAGAATAGTTTGAACAAGCGGGAGCATTCAGTGACAAAAATACAGGGAAAATTTTAATTGGGTTGATGAGTTCATAGCTCCGCGCTTCACGGTGACCAGTACGCTGCCTGTTGTAGAACGCCTGTGAGATTTACCAATGACGCAGCATGCTTGATTGTAGATAATGTTTGGAATGAAGGAAAATAATAAACTTGTAGACTTCTACATGGTAGTATGTTCATGCATGCGGGTTTATGATTTGTCAGCATTAGGCAGCAGTTATCAGTGCTGTGAGCCGTTTGTTCCCAGTTAACAGTTAGTCAGCAGTGTGGCACAACATGGTTCACTATACTTTAGAGCAATGTGTATTTCTGTATGTACATCGAGCATTGTAGATTGTACATTGTACATTGTAGATGACACTACTTGATGTTGCTGTAATGCAGAGACATTGGCTGGTGAACCATAAAACTACAAGCTCTGATCTGTCAAACAGGGAACTTCTCTGTAATTACTGTATTTATGCGTGTATAGGCCGCAGCACAATTTTCAGACAGAAATTATAGAAAAAATAATTTTCTTGGAATATTATTTCAGGAGTAGATATTATTCCAAAATTTGGCAACGTTAATTTTTTTTAAATGAAGCGTGATTTCGAATATAAGCCGCACCCCAGTTTTCCTCTTGAATTTTTGGCAAAAAATGTGCGGCCTATACATGCGTAAATACGGTATTGCAGATAGATTTTTATTGTATATTTTTAGAATTACATTGGTATGTGTAACACCATCAGTTTCTTGACAAGGAATGCAGTGTAGTACATGTACTGCAGCCAGATTTAAAGGGCTAAAATGCTAATGCTGCATGGTGTTTATGAAACCCTTTCCCCAGGTATTTAAATTTCAAGTGAAAGGTATGCATTGCTTTACTGAAATTGCAGGTCAAAAAAGCAGGGACTATATAGAAAAATCATGCAATTATACATACTCATTGTTAATTGTATTATGTAATAAAAAATTAATTGCAGTTACTTTCCAACTCACCCTCATATAATGGAATCACCATTTAACATTCTTTGATTTAAGGTTTTCTCTCTGTTATGCTCCTGTGATCCCAAGTCAGTAATCTTGGTGTTAAATTGCCTCTATTTATGACTTTATGTTTTTTCACAGCAACTGTTCGCAAATTTGATACAATTCAACGATCACAGTTAACTGACTTTGGAAAGTATGTAGCAGAATGTTTACCCAAATATGTGCAGAAAGTGCAGTTAACAGCTGGAGATGAACTGGAGATCTTGATTGCTCCTGAAGGTGTCATACCAGTATTACAGTTCCTGAAAGATCATCATAACACACAGTTTGCCAACCTGGTTGACATTGCTGGAATGGATGTGCCAGCCCGTCAGTACAGATTTGAGGTAAAACTTCAGTTACATAGAAGTGCAAGAGTTAAAAGCAATTAATTAGCTCATAACTTTCATCCTGTAACTAGAGTTAAAAAAACGTTCCATTTTGTTGTGCATCCTTTGCACAAAATGAACGTACTGCCTGTCCATATGCCTGCATGTTTCATGTCTGGAAATATAGAATGGATATTGATGAAATTTGGTATTTGAATAGAAAAGGGTTATACAGTGAATAAGACATTATTCTATAGTTGTAATCATTGGTTCTGGCAGGGGAATACCTCGCAATCCTGGATTTTCAGCAAAAGCAAAATTGAGAAAAAGAAGATTACCAAATTTTAACTCTAAAAATTAAAATTGTTTTCACATGTGACACTGTTCACACATTAATACAGAGACTGACAACTATAGGGCATTATGTAAAAATATTGTTAAATGCCTTGTATGTAAATTTGTAAGCAAATATTTCTGCCTGCACCCCCTCTCCTCCAACCATCCAGGAACATCCTGGTGGCACTTCTAGTTTTGTATCTGTATCTTTATTTTTGTTTGACAGAACCCCCCTGTCTTATCAAAGCCATCAGATATACAACATGTCACATGTGCATACATTAGTTCTAAGCACAGAACGTGTCACCTTACAACTACATTCATAAAGGAAATGATAATTACACATAATTCAGTAATTTAACAAGCATATGGGACTCATCAACTTGACAGTAATACCTTATTAAAAACATAGCTTAAAATACATAACCAAATATCAGATTATATATAATAAAGTTATACAATGTACTATATAAACAGCATTATAAAAGGTTGACCAGAAAGTGTCATATTAACAGAAGCTACATAATAGAAGGGACTGAAGTAATAATACTAATTGATATTTTCAGGTAGTGGTGTGGTAAAAAGGTAAAGTTGGCCCTGTGCTTAACTAATTAATTCCTGTGCCATGAAGACATATGGGGGGGGGGTGTATGTATAGATCCACATATTCTTGACCTTGGCACTAGGTGGAGGTCAGTGGTCGGCTTCACACCTCATAGGTTTTTTGAACATGGTTCACAGAGGATCAGAATTGAATTTTTACAGTAGTGAAGATTTCAGAAATTTGTATAGAAATGTATAAAGACTAGTAGTCATGAAATTACCTTTATCAGTCTGCATATTCTCAATTTTGAGAACTTGTATTTCACTGAAATAACTAAGTTATTAAGAAAGGTGGATCTATACCTCCACCCACTCATATGCCTTCATGGCACAGTACTTAACTAGTTAAGTACTGGGACAACTTTACCTGTATCTTGTAAATTTACCATGTTCATTGCAATAATCATTAATATTGTCAGTTTCAGTATATGTTATGTCCTATGCAGGTGATCTACAACTTGCTGTCATTGCGATTCAATTCTCGAATTCGCGTTAAAACATATACTGATGAGCTGACTCCACTCGACTCTTCATGTGAAGTGTTCAAAGCAGCCAACTGGTATGAACGAGAAATCTGGGACATGTATGGGGTGTTCTTTGCCAATCATCCTGACTTGAGAAGGATTCTTACTGATTATGGCTTTGAGGGGCATCCCTTTAGAAGGGACTTCCCCCTTTCTGGATATGTTGAGGTAAAATTTAATTTTTGTGTTTATTTTATTTGAATGAATGATAATAATATGTCAGAATACTTTGGATCTCTGCATTCTGGTATTTACTGGCAACAGATAAAAAATAATGTTTTGTCCACCTTTTCTAACTTAGTAACTTCATGGAGCTTGAAGAGCAGCCAGTTATGCAGCTACTCAGGAAATTTCCAACATTTTATGGAACCTGAAGGTTCATTGCCATGGTCACAAGAGCCCTCCACTGCTCCCTATTCTGAGCCAGATCAATCCAATCCATAGCACCCCATCCTATCTCTTTAAGATTCACTTATTATCATCATTACGTGACATAAATTTGACTAGAGCAACTGCTTGGGTACATATATACTGATGGGGCACATAATAATAATAATGATAATAACATCACACCAATATTCATAGGGTTACACAAACAACACAAAAACATGGACTCTGCAAGAAGAAAGTAGCGCAAGTAAAGATAAAGAGTGATGTTCTCAAGCAAATGTATTTTAATGAGTGAACGATGAAAATGGAATAACATAATATTTAACTTAAGAACTAATGCAGTGTAACAATTTCAACAAGTGAACAGCTGCCAGAGGATGCTCAAGTATGGCTGAAAAGATGTAGAAGTTCAATTTGAGTCTCGATATTATTTTAGGTTAAGGACTAATTATAAACAAAGTTCCATTAAATACAGAAGTGTTTAAAACTTGACACTGAAGATGATGAGTAATGAAAATGGATGACTATGGAAGGTGAGATACAGTTCTGAAAAGCTGTGTGATGGACCAGCCATAAGTAAATTAGTGAATGTTGGAAAACTGAGTTGGCTTGGACACCTCAGCAGAACAAATTAACTGCATCCTAATTGGAAGTTAACCCATTTTTTCTTTTGTCTATCCCAAAATCATTGTGGGTATTAGAATATGAAGACTGAGAAGAATGTGGCTAGACAGTGTTGAACCTACAAAATCTTGGAATTTGAGGATGGAAGGAAAAAATGCTGGATAGGAATGATTGGAGGAGGAGGAATATGATATGAATGAAAATATAAGTAGAGATAAAATTGCCATCTTTCTATATATACAAAAAGAAGTTAAGTAATTGTGAGATGAAAGCTCTAAAATTATGCAATTTTGGGTTTCTGTAGCACTAAATTGTGAAGCATTAATATAATGCATAAATGTAGGTCATGAATGAGAGAGGTCTTTTGTTTCAATATATTGTGCCTATTCTTTAAGTGCTGAAAACCTTTTGGTGTGGTATATGAAGTGTAGTATACTGCATAAAGGAGATGATTTACAATTGACCATTTGTGTATATTACAATAGGAGACAGCAGTAAACATTTGGGCTCGTGTACTGTTTGATAACGTGTAAGGCTCAAATTGTATATGGTAGGGAGGGGGAAGTTAATGGCGTGAAAGCTTATATGACAAATTATGAGGCTTCCTACTGAATTCTCTATGGGTGCTGCACTAGCAACTGTATAAATGCTTCTCACTAGTTTAGCCTCTTTTTAATCATGATCATTTCAGTTATTAAATAACATAAAATTGTCTTTGTGAGATCCATATTGTCATGGTGGTGACTATGAAGTGTACTTGTCTTTCAGAATGTTACACCATATAGCCTGATGGAAGTTTACCATTGTTTCACAAGAATCTACTACCCCAGTCTTCAGGGTCAAAGAGTAGGCCAAGCTTTGTTCTTTGCTTGACTTGTTCTTCAACAGTTATTTTATACATAATATTGCTCAGATGTGAATTTATATAGAATGTTGAGAAGTTTCACCTTTTCACATTCACATTTTTGACACTGAAAAACCAAATGTTGAAAGATTGTTTTTGTCTTGCAGTTATTAAATTCATGCCCTGCAAGATTGGATGAAGGTTTATTTCTAGCTGTGTGTGGTTGAACTCCATTTAATGTGTCTTGCTTTAAGTTCCCACTCACATTATTTAGTTTCAGTGATCCACCTTGGTGTTAAATTGTACCCAGTTAAATTTTTCAGCCATATAGTGCCCAATCTAGTGGTCCTCAGGGAGACCTTAAGTGGGGGGGGGGGCGTTTCACTGTACTTAATTTAAATATTGTGTGATTTTTTTTATAGGAAACATATTTAAATGTTAGGGGCTGCAGTGTTGTAGGTATACACACTTACTCTGTATTTGTTCACCTTTTTTATTCAGGTTCGTTACGATGATGAGAGGAAGCGTGTAGTTGTCGAACCAGTCGAGTTAGCTCAAGAATTTCGACGATTTGAATTGTCTGCTCCCTGGGAACAGTTTCCTAACTTCCGTGGTGGCCCACCTGTTGCAGAAGAAGTGCCAGTAGACTCAAAAGAAAAGAAATAAGGGTTTACTTGTTACACTTCTTGTAAGAGTATCAAGATTAACTCTGTATTAGAAGGAAGGAATAAAATTGTATCATACTATGTGAAGCTAATTAAAAGTAGTTGTTGAACATACTCGTATTTTATTTATTTATAGTCGCTTATAATGTGGATTGCATTGGTTGCCTTTGATTAAGAATATGTCTGTTTTAGAAAAATATTAAAGCATGTAGTTATCTCATCATACCAAATTCTACACGTGCGAGAGATTATGTATTAAAAAAAAGTAAAGGTATCCCTGTAACAAGCTGTGGAGGCCCATAGGGTTGTGAGATGTTGAGGTTCCCACATTTTCTAGACAGTCAGCTCATAGATGGTGATAGGGTTGTCAGCCCTACACATCGGCCGCCCTTTACCCCCAACAATATTCCTGGTACTTATTTCTGTTAGAGACTGAGTCAACTCCAGGGTCATAGTGCAGCTGGAAGGAGTAGGTCAACTGAAAAAAAATCCAATGACCTCATCGGGACTTGAACCCACGACCTTCTGGCTTGTAGCATAGTGCCTCAACCAACTACGCTACCATGTACCCCTGAGAGATTATGTATTACCTTCAATAATGATTAAAAATTACAGCATTAAACAGCCTTTTAAGTTATTCATGTGTGCTTATATATATATATTGAATTAAGATGATTATTCCCAAGATGTCAAAGTAGGCCAACAGAAAAATGATTTAGAATGATGAAAAAGAAATTATAATTATGTAGGCTTTATTATAACACATCAAGTTATGTTAGCATTGAGAACAATGAAGTCTTCTCAGGCACTGAGGTGTGTCAGTGCGCAGTTGCTGTCTTTAATGTGTCTGTTTCCAGCATCACGGCTTAATGTTACAAGTGTTGTGTTTGTGTGCTGTATTTGTACACAGAGCTGTTGTCTGCAAGCAGATAACCATTCTCATCCTTCACTAAGTTACTGCTAGGCTGGTAACCCCTCTTAAATTCATTTATTCCCCTAGACAGGTCTCTAATATTATTGTTCTTACTCTTCATTCCAAGCTCTTTGATTTTGTCTTTCTAATATTCCCTCTTTATTTCTGAAATGCCTGGTGCCTTCATGTCTTACATTGTTCAGATTATCCCCATTTATTTCACTTGGATCCTGTAACCACTGCAGTTTGGCTTGTTTCCTTTGATATAATAGTTTTGAGCATCCTTCGTCAAACCATGGCTTATGCTTCTCCAATTCATGATATTCTGTACTCTTTTTCACTGAAATTTGGTATTCTCTCCAACAGTTTCCCAAGCTCTATTAATATCCACCACATTATCTAAGTCTTCTAAAGCTGCGAACTTATTTGAGATTTCAACACGATACTGCACTTTACCCTCACCTCGTTTAATTTCTTGAGAATGAACCTCTCCATATGAACTCTGTGCACTGTTTGTTTACTCACTGCCAGTATTGTATTAGTAGTTTTAATGCTATTTTTATGTCTGTGTTCTTGGATAGTTTTGTGACTGTTCTCCTATCAGGGCCATAACATGTGAAGGTGGCTCATTTTGATTTTTGTCCCCTCTGAGTTATTGGTAGAAAGTTTTTTTTTGTGGGGGGGGG